CAGAGCTGAGGTCAAATGAAGAATTCTTCTCAGCTTCTGCTTGTCTACACTCAGGCTAGTATTTCACTCCTGCACAGCTCAGTATGGTCTTAGCATCCCATATAGTCAGCGCTTTTGTCCTGAATAAATCCAAGGTCCATCCAGGTCCTCAATGGCTGGCAATAAATGGTGATTTCTTTTTAGTGCCTGGGCAGTTTTGAGTTTATCTGAAGGCTTTCATACCAAGTGTGTGGCAAGTACCGGTGCCCATTTTCCAGCCTTTACAGTGGTATGAAGTAGCCTGCTTCAAATGTGCGGTCAGTAATTTTGCCAGTTGTACTGTTATTCAGTTTGTTGATTTATTTTGCTTTCTGGACCTCCATTTTTTTTACATGTGGCAAAAGGGATCATAAATGTGTTCCCTCTCCCAGGCTGAGGATGCATCAGGGTTGTGCAGAGGTCAGGTCTGAGCTTGCTCCAAAGCAAATGGCATGTGCATGTGTCAAGGTTTCTTCTTGACAGCCCACATTTGCCTGCTGGCTTCTGAATAACTTTATTATGCATCACCAGTGCGTGACCACTTTTCCAGTCTCATGTTGCTGCTTCTCAGTGTTGAGGGGTTACGTAGCAGCTGGCTCCACAGCCTGGCTGGATCCGAATTGGTGGTTCATCTAATAACACGCGTGCAAGCATGGCCCTTGAATTGCTGGCAGCCTTTGCCTGCAGCACGGGCGTACTGACAGTATTTGCCTCTGTTAAAGTCACTGCTTTCCACTGGAAATCTCCACATCCTAAATCATTGCATAAAGGGAGGTGTTTCTTCCTAGTTCCTACATAGCGTAAGTCTTCATTGGGGTGTAAAGCGGTTTTATATCCTCAGTTCCCTATATGGTGACATTTATTCTCCTCTGTATTTCATGCTGCTTTCCACACTATATACTTTCATGTCATCAGCGGATATCAGCTAGACTATCCCTAAAAAAATTGTTCCTACCTGTCTTGGTAGGTACCCTTGGACAGAAGGGGGAAATAAAGTATTTCATCTCCCAGGATAAAGAAAGAAAGAGTTCAGTTGTGGTCTGTGGAACACAAAGGAGCAGGTGGAGGGGCAGACTGTAGCATGCCGCAAAATCAGTGTTTCCACTAAGACTGTTTCATAGTGTTGAGTAGAATAATGAGTTTTACTACCCAGATAAATATTGCTGATTATGTGGAGATACTTGTTTCTTTCTCTCAACAATCCCTCCTGTAAACAGGAGTTGGGCATCCCGTGCACAGTCCAGTCTTTAAGGTCTGCAGAGATCTCAACTCTGTAGTGTAATTGTCAGCCGACCCGCTTCTTGGTGTCAGATAAAGCTTCTCTCATTTGGTCTCAGACCCAGCACCTGACAATCACCTTTAACAGTTCGGTTTCAGTATTACTGGTATGGTTCTGGGCAACAATATCTCACTCGTATTTGTCTCTTCTCCTCCAGTGCTAAATAAAAAATAAAAATAATGGTGATTTTTTTTTTTCTAATTCTGTTCTGGTTCCTGTGGTTAGGCAAGGTTATTTGTTCTGAAAGCCAGCATTCTCTAGTTTTCTTCTGTGTAACCTGTTGTAAAAAAAAAAAAAATGTAGAAATTCATGCTGCTGCTTTCCTTGCAGGTTGCCAGGTCTTTCCTCCTGATACCACTCAAACTACACAGTTTCTAGGGTTTTTGAGATTTAATCCTTTTATAGAATATGTAAATAGCTTTGTGGGTTTTATGGCATTTTTATATTTCAGGTAAACTAATGAGAAGTTATTGAATCAAGAATTATTTCAGTTCATAACGCATAACTTCATCATAATCCTTCCACTAAAAAATTGCACAGTTGAAAGGACTAAACAATACAGCTAGCAATAGTAAAAAAAATTAAAGCAGTGTAGATATTAGTAAGTAATATTGGAATGCTCAGATCTACTTTTTACATTTCTTGGTGCTCAAACACTTAAATATTCCATAGCTCCCAAAAGATGTAGCTGTTTATGGTACAGATTTGTGTGAGGTATTTTTATTTTGTATTAAATCAGTTGGATTATCTTGTAATATTAAAGCAGCCTTGCTTTAATCAGAAAGTATTTAATGTTGGGTGTTTCTGTTTCTCCAATTTTTATTTTTTTTTTTTTCTGAAAAGCCCTTTTTTATAATTGTTTTCAACTTTGTTATGGCAAGCACTGCAGAAGGCATTTCAGAAAGGAGGGCCTGGTTAATTCGGCAATGGATTCCATCTGTGTTGACGTTGGCTGCACGGCCCAGCCCGCCCCAGCTGGGTGAAGTAACGGGTGCTCCAACAGGGTCAGATTCAGACAAGCACCATTTGTGTTTCATTTCCTTTTTTCTTTCTTTCTGAATAACATTTTGTCTAAAAACAAGGATTTTTTTTCTCCTCTCCTGATCTTTATTGGAACCTCTTATTTGTTTCTGGCTAGAAGATATCTTTGAAACCTTTGTGCTGTGGCAAGTTACAATTGGAATGACTGTTGGGATGGGTATTTTCTGGGTGAATAAGGTTTAATAATGATAGGAATTTCATATATTGTATATATACCTGACAGGGAAAATTGTTTAAGGCTAGAGCAAGATATTAATATATTTGTCTTATGAAAGGGGTGGTATGAATCTGCACTGCCCCAGGAGCAAACCTTGACCCCAGCTCACGTGGGCAAGGCTCTGCTCACCTGCATGAAGGGAGAAACTGCAAAGACTTGGGAGGCCGTTCCCCCTCTTGTGTCGAGCAGTTCAGGCCACACAGAGCTGAAGCGTGCAGGTGTGTAGGGCAAAATTCATAATGTGCTGTCAATTTTCCAATGTTAATGAACATGGAATATTTTTTCATGTCCCTTATGCCTGTTGCGCAGCAGCAGCTAACCTTGAAGACTCATTTATTTTGTACTGATGTGCATATTTGCAATTTGGGTTATTTTTCAGCAGAATCACAGGGAAACTGTGCTGAAAGTCATATTTTTTCATTGTTTTGCTTCTTTGACATATAATTTCTCTAGCAAAACTGGTCTGTGAGGAAAACTCATTTGGTTCACATTGCAGATAACAGTAATTGCCATCTCTTATCTGTAATTGAGTGTGACACGTGAAATTGGCTATATCATTTGATATAGAAATAATATTAGTGTAAATCTCAATCTGACCAAGAATTCCTGTGTTCTGTCACGAATCTGTTCATTGTTTGTGAGGAAGTTTGTGATTTTGCTCGCGCACAAAAAGAAGTCAGCGCTGGATGAGCTGAAGCACAGGTTTATTCGCTAGCTCCTCGTCTTCCTCACATCAGGAATACGCAAGCACTCACCTGCAAGGTGGAATAACCTACTCAATGTGAATTTAACTACAGAGCACACTAAAGGTGGGACTCATCTTGCTGAGGTTGTTAACCAGCCTAGGTGTGTAATCAGTAATGAGATTTGGAGATGTCTAGGTCTGAAATCTGCGAAGATGGATCCAGCCCTGAATGTGCCCACAGAAGCAATTTCATTATAGCTAATGCCATGTGTTATTAAAGCTCAGCTTCCTCCCAGGTAGGTTTAGATCTATAGCAAAAGAGGAGTCCGGTCACTGTGGCTTCATCTATGTTATGTGGAAGAAGGCTCTATGCCTCTACTAGACTGTTCAGCCCATTGAGTGGCACTCCAGAAGTGTTGGTATCTGACCATGAGCAAAGCCCAGCCTGACTGGTTTCTTACTTTGGTATCTCCATTCGTTCCCCGAGTTTAGACTGCATCAGTCCAAGGCAGACAAAAACCATTACGTCTCTTTCCTTACATGAAAAAAGAGAAAGATGTATTGGAAAAATGTTACTACAGAAATGGGATTGTGCTTGCAAGTTATATTTTTGTAATCATACAATAAACTACTGATGTTGGAGAAAAATTTCAGTATTTTCTCCAATATGAAAATATGGAACTAAAAACATATGGCAAATATAATTGAGTTCTGTAAAATACAGTTGTTTTGGTACTTGTTAAGGAAACAGTAAAGTCATATGGAAGAAGTCACAGAGTACTAAATTTATTTTGTTACTATATCAACATACCAGCATTTGGTCAGTTTTAAATTTAAAACAGGTTTATATTTAGAAAAGAAGCATTTAGAGTTTGGCCTGGTATTTGAAATATTTATTTTATCATATAATAGTTTCTTGGTGTTCCAAACTTTTCATTGGTTGTAGCTCAGTTTTCACTATGTAGAAACGGCACTTTAAAAATTAATGTCTGTATTAAGAATTGATTTGCCATTGAAAACCAAAATGCACTGTGAAAATGTGGTCTAAATTATCTCTCCTTGATGTCTGCCACCCCACGCTGTTGAACTTTTCTGAACTGACCAACCAAACTGTTCATTGCTGTAATATGAATCATTTTAGGTGTAAAATACTAATAAATAAGGCTTAACACTGTAAAATGGTCCATACACAGAAGTGTTTTTCCTACATAGACCCTTTAGACTTCTAGTTCTTAGAGAACTATAGCTTTTCAACATTTTTACCACTTAGTGCTGTTGTAGAAAGAGCTTCTTTTAATGTAGCTGTTATCTTGATTTTGCAATCCTTAATAATGGCAAGTAGGATCCTACTGTGTTTATATCCCCAAAGGACTCAGTTGGACTATGTGCAAAAAGGTTCTGCTTCCTTATCACGAGTGGAGGAAAAGGTCTTGACAATAATGATACAATTTTAAATGTTGTGAAGCATAATTAAGTCACTTTATTGCCTCAAAATCTCAACCTCTACTTGTTACTGTTTAATTATAACAGCATATGAGGAGCTTGTGACTTGGACTTGTTTCACTTCTGAAAGCTGCTACCCTGCAGAATGGACCTTATTCAAAGGTCATCTAATTCATCCCTCCGGAGCCTTGTCTTTAGACGTAGCTAACAAAAGAAATAGTTGCAAGAGCAGCCATTTGGTTTATAAGGCTGGTAACATTAGCACTGATTGTGGACAGATGTTCACAACTCCTTTTTCTCTTTTCTTCTTCTTTTAGCCACCAGATAATGGGCCTCCACCATTACCAACATCTTCCCTTCCTGAAGGCTATTATGAAGAGGCAGTGCCACTTAGTCCTGGGAAGGCTCCTGAGTACATCACTTCCAGTAAGTAATCTGTATCCAGTTTCTGAGCAATTGGTAATTACAATGTCCTTCGGCTCTTTTAGTATTTGACACCTACATCTTTATTAGTGCTGTGGTACTGTGTCGTAAGCGTGGCTTTGAGCATCTGGAGCCGGTTCTGGTTATCCTCATTGTCCATGCATTGGTTTGGTTTGCAGAACTGTTTTGGTGTGTACAAACCAGGCTCCTTTTAGAGGAGACTAAACCTGGAGCTCAAGTTAGGTGCACATAAATATGTTTCAGCTGCTATTGGAGACAGAGGGTCCAAATCAGCCACTGGTATTTTGGACAGATTTGAGCCATGAATGTGGTGGGGACATTGGCCCAGGGCTCCAGACTTCAGCATCGTCCAGCGTAAAACCCTCTAAACTGGCACTGCTGTAAACGTACAGGTCTCAGAAACCTCTAATGGTGTGCCTCTGTTGCAATGAATTACTTGCTAAAGTAGACAAATAAAAAGAAAAGAGGAATTATTGAAAAGCTGCATTTTGCAGCGTTTCTGATGACACATTGTGGATAGGGATAAATCACTCATACTGGCTCCTACAAGCCTTGTTTGATGCGCGAGACAGTATTTTAGAGACTATGCATTTAGTGCAAAAGGCAGAGAGCTGCCTCCTAACTGACAGCCAGAACGTCCTTCTGCAGCATGCCAATGCTCCTTCTCATGTCCAAATACTTACCCACAGACCTATGCACCTAAGTGGAGCTACGCTGAGAGCACGCTGGTGAAGCGATGTAGTCACTGCTGTGAGCACTTACACAGGGTCAGTCAACGGGACATTATGTACCAAAAAACTGCAAAGGTTTTCCCTTTTGCTGCTTTTTTATTGGCTGGGGTAATTTATTACTTGTGTATGGCTGATTTACCACTAATCGTTACTTTCTGTGGCCCAAAGATTAAAGGCATATCTTCCCCCATTTTGTAGCCATTTTTATTATCAGAACCAGAACAAATGAATAAAATGATATCTCTGTTCTTAAAACACATGCGTAGGAGTCACCTTAGAATATTAATTATTCACTTGTACACTGCACAAAATGAAGTTGTCTTAGTTTACCTAAGAAATTCAAGGTAAGAAAGAGTTTCATATACTGTAAAATAAATGAAGGACCATACAGCCTTAGCAGAGCAGCAAAATCACTCCTCTCTTCATTTCCTCCCTTGAAATGCTGCAGGGTGGTCCTGCTACACCCTGTAATTCAGTGAACTGCTGATTTGTGTTTTGTCATTAAACCAGAGCCATGCTCAGGCAGAAAAATGTTAATAGAACAAATATTAATAGCACTGCTGAAGGATCACCTGGGGGAAAAAAGACAAAATATGAAACTAATTTCTTATTTTACTTAACCATCCAAATCCGTAAAAGTATTTAGGATATCAGCCTTAAAGTTCATTAATAATTCCATTATTTAAGTGTGTATATATATCCAGACATTTAAAGCTCTGTTAGTGTAACTTATCATCTCACTTGCTGTGATTTTGCTGTATTTGCTTATGTCCCAAACTCCTTATCATCTCTTTTAATTTGTGTTAAAAGTATTCAGTTCTTGATTGGTAATGAAGGTGCTTTTAAATTCAATATGCTGTTAGTAATATATCTCCACTCAAGTAAAACTTCCACTAGTGTGTGTGGTAATTAAAGTAAGCCACCAAGGCAGTGTGTTAATGAAAGATGTAACTTTAGCAGTTCAGACTGTTTAAGGTGGAGAAGACCATAATAAAGAAGTGCTAAAAGTAGACGAAGTGCAAGAATAGTATATTAAACAACTGTTGGGACAGATATCATTATCTTAAATAAATATTCCCATGGAATATTTTTGTAACGCCATTAATTGCAAAGAGGCTTACGTACCATATGTTCTACCTATAAAGATGAACAGCAGCAGGAGAAAATTGCAGAATACAGATCATGAAAATGAAATAGCCATAACTTCCACAAGTCTCTGTAATCTGTTTGTAAATGAACACTTGCATGTAGATGAAAACAAGACTGTATATGCCTTGTCTGATAACTTTATTAAAAGCTACTGGTCTGTACAGTATGACTAAATTATTACAGACTAATCTTTGGAATACGTTATTACAAATAATGTGAAAGTCCACTGTAATTTTTGCCCCCCTAACAGTGGAAAGTTTTGATGAAAATATGTGTGAAAAGCCCGTATCAAGCTAAAATAATCAGAAAATGCAAAAGATACAAAAAAAGGTAGATCAGCAGCATTGGAACTGTTGTATCAGTGAGTCTCAGTCTCTAAGACTTCAGTAGACTTAATAAAATAACTATTTTGGAGAGACACTTTTCACTTTTTCTACACGTCTTGTCTTTCTCTCCTTTGGCTTGCCCCTTCCCCACTCCAGGACTCAAAGAATCTGTTGACTTGAACACACACAGAAGAAATTTTCAGATCTTACCTATAGCTTACTGTCAAGCCTGTTTCATTACCCGTTGCGATGAGACAAGATGACGAATTTAGTCACTAGTAGCCTTGCTACAACTTACCTTTACACAGTTTGCTTCCACAATTTAGCATTTTTTTAATAGGAAGTTTACTGCTTCCCAAATTCAGTTCACCGTGAGTAATAGTTGGAAACAATACTGCTTCAGAACCCTTTGAAATGATACGTACATGCTGGATTTCTCTGCATATCTTTCTGAATGTCTGCTAAAGCTGTTACATATGGGTAGTAGACTGCCTATGCTATTTATGTTAAAATAGTCACTTTACAATGTGAACAGAAGCTAGTTTATGTCCAGAGCCTGAAAGCCTTGTTTTGGTCATGATACAGCAGTGTGGAGAGAGAAAGAATAGAAGTGGGATGTGGCAAAGAGCGGCAAAAGTTTCAACCAGGATGACATGAGTGCTCCAGGGTGGTCATCCTTCCTGATGTGAGTCACACAGCAAACACTTCGTCTGGCCAAGAGTCCCACAACCCCAGGAGGGGAGAAATATGTGGAGTAGTTAATGGGCAGGATATGGCAACAGGTCCCCAGAGATCCCGTTGGACTGTGTGAGGATGGGAGTCCAAAAATGTCAGCCCCAGAAGCTCCTGCTGGCTTTCATCCTCCTATAAACAGAGACTTGGATGAACGTGCAACTGCTGTGCCAGCTGAGTCCCTCTGCTGATCAGCAATTGCTAACATGAAATCTGCACTTGCACCACTTGTGAGCCACATAGGAAGTACCTGTAAGGCATTCAGCATGTAGAATTTCAATCTCTACTTTGAAGTCTCAATCAGCACTTCCTACAATTAATTTAATTAATCTGAAACTTTTACCACTTGCCAGTATGGAGCTGCCCCCCAAAACAAACACTCCATAGCAGAATTGACCAGAAGATGGCAATTCAATTAAATTAAAAAAAACCCAAAATTTTCAAGAGCTTGACATTTTATTTTCATTTCACTTCAGAATGAAGATGCACTATTTTGTACACTTTTGTGAAAACACTAATAGAATCAGAATGTCTAGTCTTGATTCAGCGATGTGAGGTCTGGATATATCCCATTCTGACTTTGCACATAGGGAGGAACAGATTTAGAATGAGCTTGTCACAGAATCACAGAATGTTAGGGGCTGGAAGAGACCTCTGTGGGTCATCTAGTCCAACACCTACAGCAGGCTGCACAGGACCTTGTCCAGGCGGGTCTTGAATATCTCCAGAGAAGGAGAATTCACAACCTCCCTGGGCAGCCTGTTCCAGTGCTCCGTCACCCTCAGAGTGAAGAAGTTCTTCCTTGTGTTCATGCGGAACTTCCTGTGCTTCAGTTTGTGCCCATTGCCCCTTGTCCTGTCGCTGGGCACCACTGAAATGAGTTTGTAGGAGAGATGCTCCAGTCCCCTCACCATCCTTGTAGCCCTCCGCTGGACTCTGTCCAGTAGCTCCTCATCTGTCTTGAACTGGGGAGCACAGAACTGGACGCAGTACTCCAGATGAGGCCTCACTAGGGCAGAGTGGAGGGGGAGGAGAACCTCCCTCGACCTACTGGTCACACTCCTCTTGATGCACCCCAGGATCCCATTGGCCTTTTTGGCGCCAGGGCACACTGCTGGCTCCCGGTCAACTTGTCATCCACCAGCACTCCCAGGTCCCTCTCCGCAGAGCTGCTCTCCAGCAGGTCCACCCCAAGCCTGTACTGGTGCATTGGGGTTGTTCCTCCCCAGGTGCAGGACCCTGCAGTTGCCCTTGTTGAACTTCATCAGGTTCCTCTCTGCCCAACTTTCCAGCCTGTCCAGGTCATGCTGAATGGCAGCACAGACTTCTGGTGTATCCACCACTCCTTCCAGCAGAGCTCCTTTCCAGCATCAACTCTCTTGTCCTTTTGCCATTTGTCCCATGTCGCCTTCCTACCTCCCAGCTGTGTCCTAAATACCTCGCTAAAGCAAATGAGAGGTTTTTCTTCCAGCTTGTGGCTTAAAAACATATCAAAGTCTGCTTGAAATGTTTGGATGAAATTTCAGCTATTGAAAATACTCCAGTCAAGCCTCCCCCGTGCGAGCCTGTGCTGGTGGGTAACAGGCATGCCTTCAGGAGTTATTATCTGAGGAGCTTTTCTAATATTCCCACATAAACAAATAAATGAGTATGGACGGTTGAAGAGAGGATTCTGTGATAATAGCAAGTTAGTTTTGTAGTTGAGAGGACCGCTAGAGCTGATTGCATTGCTGAAAATGAAAGGCCTGAACAAAGATTGTTTAATTAAATAGGAATCTTGCCGTTACATCGCCAAACTTAGAGCACGGTTAAACTGTTTAGGCTAGCATGACAAGGCTTTTTTTGCAGAACGCCTTTAACTCCAGCAGAATCCGTAGTTCAAGGAACAGCATTGTCTGTTCAACACTGATTGTGTCAGTGCAGGTGCTGTATTTGAGAATTGTATGAAATGCTATGATAGGTAGAATGTGCCCCATAATTTGCTTCTGTGACCTTTGTCATATTCAGGGCTTGTTTCTTAACATGCTGTGTTAATGTTGACATTTCTGTGCTTACATTTTTCAGTATGCAGTAGGGCAAGATGAAGATGTTTCTCTGTAAAATAATTACAAAAGAGGAAGGTATCTGCTAAGTAATATTTTGAAGATAATAAAAAACTGCATAAAATTTTAACTATTCCCAGCTGATTCTTTCAGTTAAAATTCCAAAGATATCAGTGTGGGTCTTCTATAAAATTCCATAATGGAACAACATCTTGTATTCAATTAACTTAATGTATTGATATTACTGAGCACTGAAACAGTAATTTGTTCATGGCTGACTATCGAAAGCCTTAACTTAAAATGAACCCTTTTGAGATTTTCAGTTATTTCACTACACTTCATTGCTACATGTTTTAACTTGACACCTGTATGCTTTTCTTAAAGATTACGACTCAGATGCTATGAGCAGCTCTTATGAATCCTACGATGAAGAGGAGGAGGATGGAAAGGGGAAGAAAATGAGACATCAGTGGCCTTCTGAGGAGGCCTCTATGGATCTGGTGAAGGATGCCAAAATCTGTGCCTTCCTCCTTAGAAAGAAACGATTTGGGCAATGGACCAAACTACTGTGTGTTATCAAAGAAAACAAACTACTGGTAATTTTATATTTTTATCTAGCTGTATTTTTTTTGTACCTTTTAGCTGATGTATTTATTTTTACAGGAATCTGGGTTTTGGACTATGTCCTGCAAACAGTGACCAAGTCTACAGTAACCTTACCAAAGAGTTCAGTCATGATTTACCCAAGAAGCGGTGAAGCACTGAAAATATAAGTGTAGCATTAGCCACTTAGAACTTTGATTTTTATTGCACTTAAGCTTAAACCCAGGCAGTTCCCTGATATTGGAAAGAAAGTCTGGCCTATTAGATTTTAACATAATTCATCTGGAAAAAAAACTGCTGAAACTGTAAATCCAGTCTTTCATTCCCTGCGGACCAAGAATCTCATAGGGAGCTTTGTATATGAACTGTTGGATCAGAGCGCTGGAGAGAAAAGTCCCTTGTTAGACTGAGAATTCACTTGGCAACATATGCTGTGGTAATGTATACACTTTAAGCTAAACCTTTGCCATCTGTTCTGCGGTAATTACAGATGCAGTGTTCATGTGATGCACAGCTGCATTATAGAAAGGAGAGAAACAAGTGGATGTATTTGTTCCTTGAGCATATCTGTTATGTTTCTTCCTGACTGGAGGCACCAGTATAAGATTCCATAAGTTAGTGAATTATCTGCTCATAGATGCCTTTTTGTTTTCTGAAAGAGATCCTAATTGAGGGAAACACTCATTTCTGTGTTATTAAAGTGAACTAATGCTTACAGTAATAAGTAAGTTGGGGTCTTAGGCACTCCCTGTCTTCATGTCTGGTGCTTCCAACGGTTGTAACTAATTATGTAACTAATAATTACTGCAATATCCCAAATGTTAAAAGCTGATTAACAGGTGATAGAACATGTTCTGTAGAACCTAGTTAGTCTACACACTTACAACATAGCTTAGATGTGTTCGCTTTCCAAGTACATATGTGCTTGTGGTGGTGTAGGAAATAACAGGATATGAAATAGAGGTATCTGGGTAAGAGGTTTCTGAAAATATACTTGGAATTCGTTTGCCAGTTTTCAGTGGTTACTGAGGATTTAATTTTTCTATCGTCCTCCATTTAAGTGTCAGATAGAATGTTGATTCCAATTTGGTTTGTATTCTGTTGTTATGCTTAGTCCACATTTTTATCATCATAGATCAAGACCATATCAAATTTCAGGACCATCTGATAGCAGTTTGAAGAAAACAAAGAAAGAGGGGAAAAAACAGATTTTCTCTAAAGTGACACAATATTTCTTCTACAGTTATGTTTGTTGTTCTGTATAGAAATAAGTTATTTTTTCTATTTTCTTTTCCTTTAGCCACATGTGTGGTCTGAAAAGTTTTTTCTTTCCTTACAGGGATGGTCTTTCAGGAATTCTGTAATGAGGATTAAGAAAATAAAAATCACAATAGGAGTCTAATGACCAAGTCACACAAGATTGGTTTATTGTTTAAAGGAAGACTTAGACATTTAACTTATGAGATATGCAAGTAAAACAAATATATGTTCTTAGGGATTAGTAGTTGCTAGTGTTTTAAATGCAGCTGTCATCATAAAACCAATATATTTTAATTAGAATTAGACATTAGAAATAACTTCTAGTAGGGAACTTTTTTTTCACTGAAAGTCCTTTAATATATAAATACTTCAGTTTTAAAAATGTAAAATTGTAAATAAAATATTTAAATTAATATAAAGGGAATTATATGCTGTTTATTGCTTCTTAAAGTGACTAATATTGTGTATTTCCAAGACTTCATAGCTTGAAAACTTCATATATTTTTAAAGTTACAAGCTTGAAATCTGTGACCAAGCTAGAGAAACTTTGAGTTAATGGGCTTTGAAGAGGGAAGGAGCATTTGGAGTGATTTGCAGCGGCTGGTTTAGAGTGGCTGTATTTGTGCAGCATAAGTTGTAGTGTTTATAACATACTTTTAGCAAGCTACTGTCTTCCTGACAATTGCATCATGATATGAACACTGCCGCAGACACGCAAAAGTTCACGTGCTTTTCTCTGTTCACATTTGTACTCTTCTATGTATGCGTATACTAATTAGTCTTTATTATTTAATACCTTTTTAGCCTTTGTGCTTATTTGTATGAGTAAAAGCCTAATTTACATAAGTACATAAAATAATTGAACATTCAACTATACTGATGTGTTAGAAGACAGGAATAGGGACTAGAGCTACAGGACAAGTGATGTCACTTGAAACCCTTAATCTTAAGATCACCAATTTAAACGTAGAGCAGGTAGTGATCCAGCATGAAATGGCTGTTCATTGACAGCACTTACTACTGAGTGAAAAAACATTGGGTAAGTCATATAGTTTTATCCAGGAGCTTATAGGGTAAACTGACGTGGAGATTTACCTGGTTTTGTGCAGTGACTGATTAAACTGAATTAGCTAAAAAAGTTACCATCCTGCGACTTTGCCCCCATTCCAGTGTGACAATTTTTTTTATCCAGAAAAAGAACGGCTGGGTAGGGGATGGGCCAGCGCTTTTGGAGCTGCAGCGTGTAGGCACTGACGTAGTTTTGCCTGCATATGCTGGGCTGTTGCTGCATCGGGGTACGCATCTAGGCTTTAAAGTCATTAACTGTACAAGTTTATTCTGCTGCTACATGTGAACAGATACCCTAAATCACCCCCTTCCTGTCTGATCAAGGTCAAGGTTGAGTCATAAGGATAATGCAGAGAAGCTTAATGCTTGTCGTATGTTGTACCTGTCCTGCAATAAAAGATGTCTGTTAATGTCAGTCTGGAAGTAATTTTGCTTTACAGAGGGAATGAGGAGGAGAAATACAAACTTGGCGTTGGCTGAACTCTGTGGTATGTGGTAAAGGGGGGCGTGGAAAATATTAAAAATTTAAAAATAGAATTTCTGTATAATAACAGCTTTCACCCAAGGTTCAGGAAGGTAATATCTAACTTTTGAACTTTCCTTACATTTATTTAGTGTTACAAAAGTTCCAAGGACCAGCAGCCCCAGATGGAGCTGCTCCTGAACGACTGCAGTATCACGTACATTCCCAAAGACAGCAAAAAGAAGAAGCATGAGCTGAAAATCTCGCACCAAGGAGCGGATGCCCTGGTTCTGGCAGTACAGAGCAAAGAGCAGGCGGAACAGTGGCTCAAGGTAAGGGGAACATTTCTGACCAGGAGCTTCTCCACACACAAAGTGCTTCCATTGCCTGCTCTGTTGCTGTTAAAAACCGACATAGAGACAGTAACATTAAGGGAAATCCAGACCACTAAAATCCCATCTAATTTGGGACTGCAGAAATACAGACTTAATGTTCAGGCCTCGAAGCAACTCCTTGGGCAACCAGCAGCTCAGAATTAGGCAGCTGCTGCTGCTGCTGCTCCCTGTGGTTTTCACCGCTAATTGCACAATAATCTGGCACCGAGAGGAAAGGTGGTAAATTCCCTTCCATCTTCATCACGAGCTCATTTTCCAGAAAGCTTTGGTGGTTAGGGCACACTGGTAGCGAGCTGAAGGTTCAAATTCCCGAAGGTGGAGGGGGCTGGCACCCAGGCTGCTTTTTGGAGTGGTAGATATGTAGACCTCCCATAGGCTACCCCGCAAACGCTGGGCATGCCAACATCACAGGCACCTTTTTAAAAAGGAGGATCTCTGAGGAGATACCTGTTCGAATTGCTCTGGATGGAGAAAAATCCTTCAGCTTCCTGAAGTTAGTTCAAGTTTGCTAATCCTGCTTTAGCTGGATGTCATCCTTTATGGTTTGTTCTGGGAATGCAGACTTCTGAGAAATGGGATTTTGTCATCTTCCACTCTTTTCTGCTCAGTGTCTGCAAATGTGGAAAATCCCAATGCAAGGGCTGCAGTGTTAGATCCTAACCAGATTACTAGTATTTATGTTGGACTTTGCCAGTCTCAAATGTGGAGGTCAGTGGAGTAGTGTGGGAAACTATCACTGCAATTTCAGCAGCTTGTTTTAAGACCTTGAAATCCAGCCTCTTAAATGCATGTAAAAGTCTGAAAGCATAGGACTCATCAAGCATTCTCCATGCTGTGCTCTGGTTTAACCTTATATGGTGCTTATTTTTCTAAGAATAAATTGTATTTTTCCAAATACAATCGAATTAAACACATAGGAATTTCCTGATGGCAGATAGTTTTTCTGCAGAAGAGGGAGACATAAAATGCAGCTTAAGAGGTATGAGTTCTGCTGTGGGCTAATTTCCTAAATGGAAAATTAATCTGTAATTTCCTATTTTGCAATATTTGAATATACCTTTTGGGGGTTTGCGTGTGTGTGTGTGTGTTAGGTTTTGACTGCAAGTTTGTATCTTAGCTTAGAAAATGCACTCTGTTGTCTTTATGACAGAAACTAATCACAGCCACTTGTTTTAGGCTGCTTCTAACATCAGTATCTTGTTTTAAACTTTAAAATCTAGCACCGTCCAAGTGTCCTAGTAATTCACCTAGACTTTCAAAAAGACTGATTATAATGAATAGAAATTCATAAGTCATATTCTGTTCCAAGGGAATTCCTCTGTAATTAGATCATAGTAACTGCACCACTATTCCATTATTTCCTGTGTTGTTCTAAACTTGGATTTAGTAATGCTGAATTCATTGGCATTTGTCAGACTTTCTTCCATTAAAATTGTTTTCATTTTTCTTTTTCTTATTTTAAATTGTACATAAAGCATTCCTCACAGGGAGACAGAGCAGTGCGTGATTTTTCCATATCCCAGACACATTCATGCTTACTTTTATTAAAAAAAAAAAAAAAGATTTTGTACGGTTGCGTGTTAACAAAGTTGTGTGTGCCGAGGGTGAATGGCCGGACAGTGTGTTATCTGCAAAGCATTTGGAGACAGTCTGACAGCACTTTATTTAGTTCCTTCATGCTGCAAAGCTCTCTATTAATAAAAACTCTTTCAAATACATGGCAGCGCTACTGTTCGCTCAACTTCCAAGTCCTCGGTGCTGCTGCAGTACCCTTTTCTGCACAGAACAATTTGCCTGTCCAACAGCTAACCAAAAGTGGTCTGTGCAGCTCTTGCAACACCTCCAGTGTTTTCAAAAAGTGTAGCTTTTTTTAGAAAAAAGATTTGGTTTTCATATTTTTAAAAATTTATCAGAATTTAAGTTTGGGGAGTTTTATTATGAAAATAATTTTTTTTTCTCATTCAAGCCTTATTTAAAATGAGCATCTGAAAATCCTGTCTGGCTTTGTGTAGGAAGTTTCTATACAGAGAAGGAGATCACTGCTTTGCCTTGGGAGAAGCAGGTGGAGCTTTACCTGCCCATCAGTCAGAGGGACAAGGTTCCCCCCTCCCAGCTTGCTGTCACCTGCCTGTGATTTTTGTAGTTACCAAAATGGGCAGATTCAGAGACTGACAATGAGAAGGTCTCTGCAACCACATTTTTAAATCGTAAGATGCCTTCTTTGTCAAAGATACCCTACCAATATGTGCCAGTGGAGCCAGGTTATCACTCGGGAGCAACGGTTTCTCATTAACTCATATGCAAGTGTCAAAGTAACGCTTTACTCTTGAGCCTGAAAATCTCAAAATGGCTTTGGAGGCCAGATTTTCCCATGAAAGCTAAACCAGATGATTTTTTTAAGTCAGATGTAACCAGATGATTTTTTTTAAGTCAGATGTAATGGGTATAAAATATGTTTACTTAAGCAAGTAATTTTAAAATATCTATGGGAAGACAAGTGCGAAATAAATGCAGAATATTTTAGATCTTTTTTGTAAAGATGACACCAAAAACGCCAGCTGATAAACTTAGTGCAAATTGAAGTCTAGACTGGAAACCACAAAGGGAGTTTCAGGTTTACCAGCTAAGAAAGGCTTGATGAAAAAAAGATAGCTGATGTCACCAAAGAGCCTGTCAAGCTTTCAGAGCAAGGAGCGCAGCTAGTATAAATTCAGGCTAGAGCTGAGATCATAGCAATACTGTGGAGCGCAACATAAAGTGGTGGAATTTTCCAGACTTGAGGCCTAAAATGTTGCCACAAAAATGTACATGAAAAAATGTGTGCAGTTACACACTCAGACCCAAACATGAGCTTTTTCCGTGCGCACTTGGAGTAGATGTGCATCTGTGTGCGCATCTGTGGTCTAGTAAGGTCTTCAGTCTGCCTGTTTGTCTCAGCACATCCAGTGGACTGGCTGAAACTGCAGTTATTTGTCAGCATCCCTGGGAATGCTACGTTAAAAATAAAAGGACTACTAAGAACATGACATTACAAGAAGATGCTTGTTTAGTGGCTTCATTCATACAGATGAATGTATTCTGTGTGCAGGACCTTCAGACTAGGCCACAGAAAATTGCTCTGAATATGAAAAATACATGGATGCCAAAGAAATTAAGTTCTGAAGTAGCTTCTTGTAGAAAACAGGTAGAAGGCGGCAATGGTCATGGTGTCTGGTCCCAAGGCCTTCTCTTGCTCTTAGCATTGTCTCCTGCAAAAATGTATTTCTGATTTATCATGCATGAGAGGTAATCTATCATTTTGGAGTACTGGCCTTGATTTTCATTTTTCCTTAACATTAGGCACCTTTTTTTAACTTTTCTTCCTTTTACAGTGTGCAGCCGTTTTGCCGCAGTCTCTTCAGTTGAGGGTCTGTAATTGAGCAGTGAACCTTTCAGGCATAAGTAGACGTTTCTGCATCTATCATTTTGTCAATGTTCAGTCAGTTCTGAACTTGTTGTAATAAAAGGGATTTTTTGCCCTGAAGCGAGAAGAAAATCAAGATTGAGACTGTATCCAGTCATCCCCAGTGCCTGCAAGCCTCCCCATAGGGCTGTTCATCTGGTTGTCCTACTCAGCTTCCATCTCTGATAACTGCATGTTGTCTCTTGTAAAAGTCATTGAAAACATATTTTTTTCCCCTGCCCTGAGCTCAGTGAGGGCAGTGGAGTAACTTCTGGGCTCCAGCCTGAATGTGGACTGACTTTTACTGAAGAATAAACAACTGACAGAGCTCTTCTTTTACCAGTTTAAATCAGCACAAAACTGAGCTTGTGACTGTAAACATTGTGTGGCTGGTTTTACTTTCTATGGGAATTTCCAGCTAGAGATCTCAAAACACTTCAAACATTACTTGCTTGGTTTAAGTAATGTTCCCCAAAGAGGTAATTATCTCCATTTTGCAGCTGAGTAGAGTCAAGTGCTGAATGATCATGCCTTAAAACTGACTGGGAAAAGTGCATTTGGGGATGCGTACTCGACACAAGTGATTTCCATACAGTGTGTGTTAGTTTGTAAGTGACTTCAGGAACATACTGTGTCCCAAGGCAGTCAGGATGGGTTCGTTCTCCACTGCACATCATCACGAGCAGTGAAGGCTTTGCAAACTAAGTGAAACCTCCCAGGGCTTACACCCCTATTGTCTCAAAGAGGTGGTTTTAGATACCTTGGTATAAACCACAGCAAGGTCCGTATGTTTGCATAAGAACTATTTAGTGTATGATCTGGAGACACGTCCGACGGAGCTGCATGTAAGAGCTTCGACCAGCCCACAGGACTGCTGCCAGCGTGCTTCGACAGAGCCGGAGGAGCCCATCCTGGCTGTGAACCAGAGTGCATGTGACTGGCACCATGGAAAACAAAATATTACTTAAAAAAAGCAGGTACATATGTGAATTAAAAAAAAAAACAAAAAACAAAAAACAGTGAATACAGAACCACAGACATCCTATTTGCATGTAGGTTTTCTTTAAGTTCCTGGCTGAAATCACGAATGCCAGCTGTAGCAGATCTCAGAGCAGAACCCAGGAGGGCTGAGACTTGATCTCTTGCTTTCACCACAAGGTAGTGTTCGTCCTCTCTTCTACTCACGACTTTGGATGGTAAATTAATTAAATCATACCTCGCTCAGAATTACAGCCTAAAGTGCGATCTGCATCTCCGCACCGCCTGGGCTGGGGCTGCAGCTGCACTTGCAGGGGGTACCTCTGCCCTTGGAGCAGCAGTGCCTCTGGCCACCCTCCCCAGCTGCCCAGCGCCTCCTTCCATGGCTTGGCCCGATTCAGTGGCCGTACATGGCAGTAGACTTCATGGTAATAGAGCAGGAGAAGTGATACATGGGTTGTCTTCGTTGAATATGTCAGAAAAATATTTTTAAGGGGAGACATACAGACAGTAAAGATAGGTTTGTTGGCTGCTAGACTGCTAGAATCTCATCCCCACTTTGCTCAGACAAATGGAATTAAGGCAGAAGGATGAATCTTTTCAGGCTAGGGGATGCTTGAGAATGTTGTTTTCCAGTGCAGAAGGTAAAGAGGGTTTCTTTTTGAAACTTATAGCATAGGCTATGATGTGAATAATTTCTGCTTTTCCTCTAATTTATCTAGGTGCACACCTTGGGGCATTTCTTCTCTGCAAAATGCTAAGAGAGCTTTGGTGCTCTCTTAAGGTGGAGGAGATTTATGCTAATGTGTGTAGTGTGTGAGGGTCTGAAAGAGAGAGAAAATGAGAATTTTGTCATGCCCAAATGACAAAAAGTCCCCGAAAGTGAGTACTCCTCCAGCACTGAGAAAGGAGTGTTGCAGGAATGAGAAGTACTGAGCTACATCTGGAGCCAAACCCTTTCCCTCTGCTGTGTGGTGCATGAGCAGATTGCAGCTTTACCGTATGCCTGTCTTCGGAGTTAAGCAGCAGAGACAGGGGATTCAGCCCATCCCATTTCTAGCCATTCCTGTATTTGCGATACATGTGGGTAGATGGGGCCGAGGGGTGGGTGGGCTGGATGGATTTTGAGCCTGGTTACATCCAGAAGTGGAGCAAATGCACAGTCAGGCTGTCGGCTTTCTCCCTAATCACTTTTGAACTCGATCATATTAAAAGTGTGAGCTTCTCCCATGAGTTTCATGAAAACACGAGACGAGACGCTGTAATGACAGCCCTGTAGCCTGAACTCATCCCACGATGTCCACAGGAGAGAGGTCTGCAAGCTCCTCAAACACGGGACGACTCGGTCTTATTCCTTATCCGGTCCCAAAGAGGTCAACCGCAAGGAACCAGCTGCAAGTTCCGTGCTTGTCCTCAGAATTTGTTGGGTTTCTGTGTGGCAGGGTCTGGGCAGCAAGCAGCTGTGCTTTTCATCTGAAGCCTGGAGCTTTGAAGGTAGCTGGAAAAATCTGATTTGATTCTTCTGACTTTGCAGGTAGGCTAAGTATTTTGCCTCCAGTCATGGTGTGTCATTTAAAAGAAGATATAATAACTATAGAATTTTGTAGGTGACAGCAGGTGTGATGGTTTTATAGCAAATGTGTTAGTGCTTGTGCAGTAAGATAGTTTTTAAGAGAGAAATATTCCAGACACACCACGTAGCAGAAATTCCACTGGCTTCACCCATCACTGTCAATGGCTTGGGGCAGGGAATCTTTCCAGCTTTGTACCTGCAAGTACTTCCCCTCTGTTCCTCATGTCACTGCAGTCAATGCGATACACTGGTGTATGTCCTGATCCAGCTGGGGATTCAAGCCGTTTCTATAAATTAAAGAAGTAATAATAATATAGTTCAGGCTGCACAAGCTTTTTCCAGGTCTGAGTTTGAAAGAGGCAGTTCTGGACTCTACTAATTGTAACATTGTAATGGTAATTGTGGTATTTAAAATTCTTGTGATGGAATAACAGAAGATTGTTTTAAATGTATTTAGTTTTGAGGCTTTCCAAAGAAGTGAAAGGTCTTCAGTTTTCTGATTACATTTGCTCATATTTTTAATATATTTGAATACATAGTCTGTTTAAGATCTCAGTTTGATTTTCCTGGCAGATCACCTTCTGTGTGTGTATATGTAAAGTACCAAGGTATTTGTGGTGAGAAAAAGAGAATGACTTCCCTTTGCTAATGTATGGGAAAATTTAAACTATTAATGCAGTGTGCGCTATTACAAAATATTCTCAGTACAGCCTTCCAGCTTATGCCATTTTATTAGAAATAACACATTTGGGGATTCCTTTTATTTGCTTTCTAGTTTTGGAGCCATTGAGAAACATTTATTCATGTTTTTACACATTTCCTTGCAATGGATAAATGTTTGCTGACCTCCTTTCTCCGCTCTCACTGAGAACTATTTTTTAATGATCTTTTGTTTTCATATGACTCCAGGAGGTGGAACATAGAAAAAAATTGACAAGAACTCCGAGTCTTGTGATTGAAATTATGCAAGTTGGCAACACTGGTGGAATGTTTTATCCTTAAAATTTTGAGTTAAAGCTATAAGCATGTGAAAACCACATTTATAGTGGCAGCTGTCTGCAAATGTAGTTATAGAGAGTGCATCCAGGCAACCATTGTATGTTAAAGGCATTTCATCCTGGTGAGCTGCAGAAGTATGCATTTTCTGCTGTGCGTGGAACACAATTATATTGCACATAGAAGGTGATGAGCGAGTCTTTTGCCAGCGGACCTCTTGAACCCAAATGAAGTGTTGGATCCTTGAGTATGCATTTACTTCAGGCCTTGCCACGAACTTCCATTTGATAGTGTGTCTTTTTTTAAATCAAAATTTAATTACAAACCAATTAAACACTTCAGCTTCTCCTTAAGTATGTGAGGTATGATAAGGACCGGATTTACTTGAGTGCATGACTTTGCACATACTATTCAGTTAGTGCTGCCAAATCATTTCCCTCTGTTCTGTCTGTAACTCCCATTACTATCTGCCTTTGCCAAAATTAACTAACTGTGTGGTGTGAGCAGATGCTGAAAACATGAGCAATTGAATCAGGGTCATGCAGGAGACAGAAATAAATGTTCCCAGAAACCGTACTATCACATTTATCTAGGAAGAAAACAGCAGTGCATTTATGCCATACCAAGGACCAGCAATTGAAAGGAAAACAACAAACGTAACAAAAATTTCTTACAATTTTGGAGAATTTAGGACTGCGTTTAACTCTGAGGTGCAAATTCTCATCAACAGATATGTCGAAATTTTCTGTTACAAAGGATTCCAAGTGGCATGAAGTACTGTTCTTCTGTTTCTGGGACAAGATATAGCGAAGTTCAGACAGTCAAGAAAGGATGCTGAAGTGTTTTAAGATACTAGCTCAGAAATGGAAGTGTAGGTTCATTTCCCTGCGCTGCTGAGAGTTTTTTATGTGACACTGAGTGAGTGATTTAATCTTTCTTTTGTTCCTGAGTTCTCTATCTGTAAAATGGGGCTGGTGCTCTTTCTTTCCTTATGGCATATAGTGCTTGTAATTTATGAATGTGCTCATGAGTTGTAGCGATGGGGTCTTTGGAAGCCCGTAAACATTAGATTTGTTTAGCTTTACCTTAAAGGGAACTTGAGTGCTGTGAAAGGACTGTTTGGGTCATCTTTAGCTCTTTTAACAGTTTCCACATCAAAATTGTTCAGTTCAAAACTGAAAAGATGTTGTTTGCTGTTTTGCTTTTCCTCTCCTTGAAAGAAATCTGGATTTTGACAGTTAGCTAATTGCTGGTTTCTCTGGAACTGGGAGTTCTCAGGCCAGATCCTCCTCTCTGCCAGCTGAAGTTGCTGTAAACAGTATGATGGGAGGAGCTGGATATGTAAATGCATACATGTACATGTGAAGGAGAAAGTCTGTATGTCTAGCGGTAGTGTGTCCAGCAGAGTGGGCTGCCTTTCTTTCTCAGCTGGCTTGGCTCTGCTGTCCTGTGTGGCTGCACGGCTGTAATCAGCGCTGTGGAGCTCTGCACCCCCTCGGCATGAGTCTGAATGGAGAGCTGGGACCCGTTCTCATCAGCACAAGCGATTTCAGACTGCTAATGGGCTGGTGGTAACCTCATGAGAGGTAAAAAAATGTAATTATGTCCATATGGAGTCATCACACGTCATTGCTCATGGCGTATTTTTACATTTATATAGTTTCAGGTTTCGAAGTTCTTCGAATTCTGTTAAAATCTCAGTGAATTCCAGGTTCTGGATTTTTCTTTAACTTCTTAAAAGCAGACTCAACGCCATTCCCATTTCCAAGAACACATTTACAATTACTTTGACCTATTTCTTTATGTCAATGTGCAAGTATAATACAAAAACACCACAAAATACCACTGTGCAGTATTAACTGTAAGTCGATCAGCACTTCATTAGCTCTCCAATAGCAAAAAAAAAGAGCAGCAGGGTAGTGTATTATGCAAAACTCTCATCCTTTGACATGCGGGACCTTGGATCTAATCCCAGGTTTTCGTCATCATAATGAAATTAATTTGGTGGTGTCAGCTGAGTTCGTATTGCAAAACTAGCCCATGGAAATCGGCAGCGCTGTTGGTTTCTTTACTCAGGAGAGCCTTGGAGCTTAACTTGTCTAGAAACTGAAACCTTCCACCTCTAGACATTATGTTTCCTCCAGGTCGTAAGTGAAATGACTTGGGGAGGCAGCGTGGAGTAGTTGGTGTGGTGGCAGCCTGCCTCACACCTGCCAGCCTAGTAAACATCTGGGAGGTTCTCCTTCCCATCTCCCTCCACGTGCATATGTAATTTCTCCGATTTATATTTTATGAATAATTAATAAGTCTTGCCTTGTCTCCTAAGGTTATAAAAGACGTGTGCAGCAACTGTACAGGAGCTGTAGACTCTGATGGGCCATTGTCTAGTTCTCCAGTACACAAGACAGAGCTGGAAAAGGTAAAGTTATCAAAATAATGAAAGCAAAATTCCTTGTGATTGCTTGTTACAGAGGCACTGCATGATTTAGGGGATGTTCCTAAAACAAAGCTGAAATTGAAGTTAGGTTCTGGATTTCATGTATTAACTTTTTCTTGTTAGACCACTTTGTAGGCCAATCTTCAATAACTGCTTTCTAGACTCGTGCTACTGTTTTAGACTATTAGCCCCTGGATTGTTTCTGTTTGTCTGGATACGTGCACGCATCCTACAGAATTAAGACTTCTGCCGTGTCTGTTCATTCGGTCACGAACAACGAGCAGACTGGCTTGTATCCTTTAGCAGCTGCTCTTTAGCCATGCAGGGTGCAGTCTAAGCAGGTCTGATACCTGTGCTGTGGTGCAGAGACGCTCTCCATCAAGTGCCAAGAGCCAGCAGGGATGTGACCCTTAGGGAAGAATAGCTGAAGATTATACAGAAGTTTTAAGGGGAAATCTTTTATTTTCGAGAATTTAGTTCCTGAAGTGCTCCCTGGGCGTGCTGAGGTCACTGTTTTGGCAGACCCTTTCAGGCATTCGTGCCTCAACACAGAAGCTTGGCTATTGGCACGTGGTTGTCTCTGCTGCCTTGACTCAGTAGCGTATGAGAGCAAGGCTTAGGAAGGAGCACAACGCTGACATTACCAGCACCGAGTTAAGAGTTACCCTGCTCTCTTAAGACATCCATGTGAGCAGACCCCTCTGCAGACCCTGCTTAAAAGTCCCGCTGACAAAGGTTTCGTCACCGAATTCCTGATGGCAGTTTCTTCCCCCGTGGTGGAAGGTGGCTGCAGTCCGTAGGGTTCCGTTGCGTTGCAGCTGGGGTAGTAAGAGCAAAGCATGTTCCATGGCAGCTCGGACCTCCTGACTGCACAAGGCAAGAGCTGTTTTGCTTGGATGCTTGCGCACACCTGCAGAGTGTTAACAAAGTCACTGAAAGCATCATAAAATAGTTTTTTTCCAAAATGCATGCCATGAAAAAGTGTAGCGAAACTTCTCATTTGTTTCTTTCCGTGATAATCTGTAGATCTTCTTCATGGCTTCACCACTTGTGAGTAATGCGGTTACCAAAACTGTGCTGGCATAAGCTCATTACCGCATCATCCTACATCCTGTATGCAACCTGTACAGAGTAATTGGTGCAAAAAAATTATTTTAAAAGCCTCATTTTTGTAGATATTGACAGTACTGAAGCACCATGGAGAAATGCGCTATTTTCTGATTAGGTGTAATTGTAAATGCATATTTGAAGCATTGTTTAAAGAAATAATTATAAAATTATTCTTATCTGCTCCATGTAATTATTCATTGCTTAGCAGATTAATAAACAGCAACATTTAAAGTCCAGAAATTAATTAAAAATATATTGTGTAATAAGAGGTATTGAATGATGATTATTGTACTCTTTTGACTGTAGTTTCAAATGTAGACCTATTTTGTGGTTGCTGTGCTTTTCTAAAGCCTATATGGCAATGTAAAAAAAATCCTCAAAAATTGAATTTTTTATTATCTTCTATTTGTCTTCCAAATGTGTTTTATTTCACAGTTCGCATACTTTTAAATTGACTCATGATACTTCATTTGGCAAAGGTGCCAACAGTGTATGTCAGCTAATCTCTTTGTCCCTGCAGAAGTTGTCATCTGAGAGGCCAAGCTCAGATGGGGAGTGTGCTGTGGAAAATGGCATCACCACTGTGTGCAATGGGAAAGAACAAGGTACGTCTCAGAATCAGAGATGCTTGGTGTAAATAATATGTGCATGTAGGGAGTGATAGGTAGTGAAATACCTGGCTTTTGTCTTTTAAAAAGAGGCAGTAAAGTTTGTGAACATTTTTGTTAAGGTTCAGTGTAACTTGAAAGCTGAGTTATGTCAAGAATGAATCCTTAAAATTTAAAATAACAAAAGGTATTTGATGTCATTGTGCAGGTAAAATCACTATAATTAGTATAAGGAAACAGAATATAGAAATCTTGACTTGGCCTTCTGTGTGTTCAAAAATACCGTTTTTTAGAGCTTGGCTGACCACTATAGGCAACTAAGAGTTGCTTTTAATAACTCTAACTGTATAGTGGCAACATAAATAATAGGTGTATAGCTCCTAAGCAAAAAGCTATCATTGACTACTAGAACGAAAGAATCATGAGTATTTTATATATATATATATATATGTATGTGTGTATGTATACACATATATACACAGTTTATAAATGTGTGTATACAGATACATAGATATATAAACTATTATGTATGATTATATTAACATACTAAAATGTGTATAATAATGTAATATCATTTGGCTTGTGAGTAAATATGTATATAATTTTACATATTCTGCACTAAAGCCATGCATGTTTTGTAGTCCTTATAGTCTAGCAGAGGCACATCCCAAACCCAGAGGGAATTTTGTCTCAGTTACATCTAAAAACCTCAACCCCTGTGCTCTCTTCCTTGCCTCCCTCGCTGCTCCCCAGAGTGGAAGAAATTCTGTGACTTTGTTAACTTGCCGTATAGCAATGGTATCATTTAGATAAGACATTTTTCTGCAGCTGTCAAGCTGAAGGGTAATGTGAGCTGCAGTGAGCCCAATGTCAATACTGGCCTTGGTGCCAGCGCTGTCTCGCCTTTTGACTCATTTCCTTTATCTTCTCTCTGGGTCTTTTTCCAACATTTCCTGACTATAACGATCTCTGACATACCTGACAGAACAGAACAACGTCAGGTTTTGTGGTTTCTAGAAGCTGTGGGACATGGTTAGATTTCACCCTATAAGATCTTAAGCTTTCAAAAAGCGTGGTACCATTTTAGTCTCCAAGACCTGCTGAGAAACATCTGTGACCCAGTGTTGTGCGTGATGTCCAGAAGTACCTGGTGGCTCAGGTGCCCTGCGGGAGCCATGCTGATGGAGCACATGCTGCTGGAAAATCAGCCCAGCTTAGATGTCCCAAGGAGGATAATTGAACAGACCAGCTGCTTTTGAAAATTATGACCTTCAATATGTAGTAATAAAAATAATGGACATTAATGACTGCAGGGAGTTTAAAATATCCCTGGCATCATTTTAAATGGTTCTGGGTGAAGTTACACTATTTTTTGAGCAATGGATAGGAAATGCTTAACAGAGTACGTAGAGAGGGACGCTTCGGAGAGCATCTCCAGCCGTCACCCATCAGCCAGCCTCTGCTCCGCTCTTAACCAGCTGCTTGATTTGCTGTGGGGAAGGAAATGAGAAGAAAAGGCTTTTGTGGCAAAATCACTGGCAGTCAGGCAATCAGTACATCCTTTAGACTCAAAAAGATTAAGTCATGAAGGCCTTATTTCTGCTGCCTCGCAGTTCTGCAGGAAAATAAAACAGCAATGTGAAGGGAAGATAGGACAGAAAAACAAAAAAGCACTGAAGTGGGCCTGTTCCTCTGTGTGTTTGTCCGCTCTCCATCCGTGCCTGAAAAGCTGCCTTTCCCCTCAGCACCGCATGCAGCAGGCAGCGGATTTGTGCAGTCCTGGCTACAGACACAATTTCCAAATAATGTTCCATGATTGCTGACAATTAAACTAAATATGATGAATTATCCCATTGTGAGTCCCAAACTGCTTCTCTGTTTTCTGTGCATTCTGCTTCCCAGTTCATCAGTCCATATAGTCATTTCTCACGTGAACATTTTCTCCTTTTTTTTCCTCGGTCTACAACAAGTCTGTAACCACTAAATGTTCCCTGTTGCAAAGGGAATTGATATGCCAGGGATAAAGTTACAGCTGCTCAATCAGTAATTATTCTAAATGTATTTTTCATCAAAGTTTTTTTTTCAAAAAAACAGTGCAAGATGATGGATATTTTTGCTGCCCTTTCAGTTAGCAGAGAGACTTTTGCTCTGCTGATGGAATCCAAGTTAGGCCACTGAATGCAATTTCTGAAAGTTCGTTTGTTCTGTTTTGCAAATAAAAGGTCTTTTTTTCTGTCTCTGTTTAATCTTAGAAACTGAGGGTTTTTTTTAATTTGGTAGGATTTTGGTCAGGTAGGCACTTTTAAAAATGCTAGCTGTAGTCCTTGCCATGTTACGTTCAGCAGCTCCCTAGGCCTTAGTGTACAGAGCCAGAATACTGCTGGCAAGGTATGAAGTCAAGGGAAGCATAGACTGGATGTTAGCAGAATACGTCTTTTCAGCAGAGCTTTTTCTTTCCAAGCCCTCATGATCACAAAAAGTGTCGACTTCTAACCATTGAATGCTTATACTGATCCCACTAATTTATTGCTAGTGGTTAATTTATAAGTCTTGTCTTTCTAAAAGGTTCATTGTGATAAGATACCTTAACCTGATTGTACATAGCAGGAGTATTTTTGCTAGGCAAGCATATTCTGTCGTTGTTGTGTACTTAATTGTTGAAGTATTTTGGGGTAAATGTTTTGGGACGATGAAGGATTGTCTGGCTGGATTTTTATTCTTGTGTATATGAGCTAAATTTATATGCAGGTACCTGAGTCGTACCGATAAATTAGATGATGACTGCGGTGGAAAGAGACTTCCAGCTTGATTAGATAAAATTAAATTAGAATCTTGATTTTTGTTTTTCTTTCCCTTCTGAATGCCATGATTTTTATAGCACAGAGATTATTTATAGGCATCTGCATTGGAGAGGGCATATAATGTTTATCTCATTGCAGTCTGCAGCCTGTGTACAAATGTTCATCTTGCACAGGATTGTTTGTCTGAACTTCTATTTTTAGTCAGGTTCTCGCTATTCATTGGTTAATTTAAACACACTAAAATACACACTTGTGCTTTCTTAATAGTGAAGAGGAAAAAAAGTTCAAAATCAGAAGCCAAGGGCACTGTGACTAAAGTAACAGGGAAAAAAATAACGAAGATCATTGGTTTAGGAAAGAAAAAGCCATCAACAGATGAGCAGACCTCATCAGCTGAAGAAGATGTTCCAACATGTGGTAAGTGATTTTTCTCCTAAAGTCTTAAATGCACATGTGACTAAAACTTTATAAAATTATAGCCTAGAAATTCCTCTAAAATTGCTTTTACTGCTGTAATTCTTCCCCCAACATCAGAAGGATGCACTCAGACTGAAAGAGGGAGTTTATCATTTGAAAAGATACTAAAAAGATTTGACTTTTTGAATAAAAGGGTAACACAGGCTTAGAAGGAATATCTTTGCAAAGGTGAGGGGGAAGAGAAATGTGGACAAAAAGCAGAAAGAAACGAGCTGTTTCAAACCAATGGATATGAAATTAATATACGCTGGACTATGAAATAAATTTAGGCTAGGAATTGGAAGAAAGTTCTTGGGAAGGGATCGAGTGTTTTACGATGGATCGTGCTGAGGTTTTATGGGATAGCAATCAAGACAGCAGGAGACTAGCCTCAACCAAAGTGATTAGAGTTTAATTGTGGGTTCCTAAAGTGGTACATACTCGGCAAAACTTGAACGAAGTAACAAATTTCTAGTAAACTATTTTAACTCCTGATGTTAATCACCCCATATGACAGCTGCAGTGCGTGGCAGCACCAAGGAAGTATATAAAAAGGCATGCAGAAAATGCTTATGTTTTGTATGTCAGCTGTTAATGTTTGCTCACAATTTAGGACTTTGTGCAATGCACTTAGCTGATGTCCTCACAACTCTGGTATTTTCAAACAAGGCAATGTGTTTATGTTCTCCTGTTTGCTTTTTGGTGCTCCAGTATTAAGTAAGATTTCCATAGATGAATAAGATTTGAACCCACCCTTCTCCCAGTCCCTTCCAAAAAAAAATTTCCATAGAAGCAAGCTGTGAAGCAGTTGCACCAGATTCTGAATTTGGATTTGACTTTTCCCCATTAATTGACTAGGAAGCCTTTGGGAAACCCACAAATCTGTGATTAGAGAGTAGTTAGCAGAACTCGTTGGTGCATGAAGTGTGATAGATGCTTGCCCAGTGTGAAATAAGTAGATCTGTGGACCACCAGTGAGAACTACATAGATCACAGGTGGCTCTCAAGCCACCTTTTAGGAATCATTCACATAAGCAATCTTTGATTAAGTATGTGTGTGTATATATGTCTGTACATCAGCTAAGTACAGATGTGATTTATCAACCAAAAGAACAGGTGGGAAAAGCTGTGTCCAGCCAGATGCATTGTCTGAAGCATCTGGCTTCCATAAAAGCTCAAACTTCCGGGGTCTCATACTCCATCGATTGTTCTGTGTTATGTGAAACGTTAACCACAGCTGACAATCTAATTCCTAGTCTTTCTATCATTATTTCAGATGTGGACAGAAGTATAACCATTGCTATTGGCTGCATTTGGCTCTACTCAACACCACTTAGAGATTTTATAGGGAAATATACAAGTGTCTAAGCTTTGATCATTGCAGGAAGTCTTTGCAGAAGGGGTTTCTCACCACCAGAAATTTGTCTCAGTGCAATACCCTCTGGGAGGTTGCTCCATAGCTGAAGGCTTTTACACTTTAAAAGGCTCTGCCTCTGTTCTCCCATGAACAAAGGGAAAAGCCCAGCGGGGCTGCAGGGGATACCCAGCTAGAGTGGAAATGGAAACCCACCTGTGCTCAGAGTCATGGCAAAGCTCCTCCCCACAGCATCACTGGTCTTTGACCAACTGGGCTAAGCTGAAGTGCTAATGCCCCAACTGGGAGCACACTGAAGGCATTCTGGTCATGTCAACTGTTGAAGTTTTAAGCAGGGATATGTGGGAGGAAAAGCATGAGATCCTGTGTAGTTCAGTTGAAGTAGGAGGGTTTGGAAGAGCTTTTTGGAGAGGTGCGTTGGGAGCAGAGAGGGAAAGAAGTACTGTCTGAAAAAAAAAGGACTCACTCCAAAACAAGCCAGCTGGCTTGAACGAGAAGGGTTTTCCATTTCTAGGGATTATATTATAATGCACAGCTATACAGGGTTTTGTTACAGGAGGAGGGAGGAGAGCTGGAGAGTGTGATCATCACAAGGAGCCAAGATCAGGGGATTGTGCACATCCTCCTTTTTTTTATAGCACCTTCCAAGATGTGTGTAATTCTGATCTGCTATATCCTCTTGGATCAAGCTTTGACATTGGAACTATAATGTTGGAAGGGAAGCCCAGAAAAATTAAGAAGTCATAGTTTTAATGAAAACCAAAGAGATAGCTATCCAACAGGATTAAATGACAAATTTTTCATGTAAATTCTGGCCTGTGCAAGATATCATTTGCTTCCCTCTGCGTATCCTGTTTGGAAGCAGCAACACACTGAATTCATGTACCATTCGTAATGTGGAAGCAAAAGTAAAAGATCTTTTTGTGTTTTTTCATTCCCAAATTAAATAAGGCAGGAAAATTGGGCATTGTCTTGATTTGAAGGTTTAAATCTGGAATGATTGTTGCTATGGGACAGAGAAGGAAAAACACAAAACACTGCCTATTTAATTTTATTATATGCCCAGACACTGCATCCAATATAAAGCATGATAAGAAAAGTGGGGGTTTTTAAAAGGCAGTTTGTTCATGAAATTTTGATTTGTTATAAGGGTTTTTAAACTTCTGTTTTAAAGTTTAGATAAATTTCATATACATTTACTTCTTGTATTTTAAACCAGTATGAATTTTATTATTATTTGCCTCTGTAGCGATTTTTAAAATTCTGCTTTAAAACATCGCAAACCAAATGTGCATTCTTCTTTCTAAAGAAAATCAGAACATACAACATCAGCGCTTAGTAGGGCTTTAAAACACTGACTTTGGATGTTACAGAAGATAGCTTGTCAGGTGATTATGTAATATAAGCTGTGATTTTCCCCAAAAATTTTGGTCAGCCACAATTATCGGTCATTACACATGGAGAAGGTGGGTCTTCTGTGTGAGCCCATCGTCTGTATACGTAGCTTTTTATCACTGTTCCTCTCCCATTCTTACTGAAGTCTTGGGGACTGGTGTGCTCCTGCTCATCCAGCTGCTGCTGTGACTAACACAGAGCAGCCGTTTGCACGTGAGCGGGATCACATGTTTATATGCATTTTTCTAGGTTAGTGGCATAGTGAAAGTTTTCATTAAAAGAAGTGGGGTCATTTATTTGTCTTCCTAAAATCCATCTGGACTTTCTATTATAAGAAGAATAAGTTGTTTAAGTGCTAGCGTTACATTTGAAAAGTAAGTTTTTTTTTTTTCTTTTCAAAAAAAGTCAGGAGTAAAACATCTCACATTTCATTTTATTGCAGGATATCTAAACGTGCTCTCAAATAACCGTTGGCGTGAGCGCTGGTGCAGAGTGAAAGATAATAAACTCATTTTCCACAAGGACAGGACAGATCTGAAGACACACATTGTTTCTATCCCTCTCCGTGGCTGCGAAGTCATCCCAGGACTGGATTCAAAGCATCCCCTGACGTTCCGCCTGCTCCGAAACGGGCAGGAGGTCGCCGTGCTTGAGGTGCAGTGGTTGCTAATGGCTATGACTTGTAGGAACACCCACAAGCTAAATTAGAGAAGAACTTTCATACAACCTGGCCATTCAAAAAAATCTTTGGAATAATATTATTGCAGAGCTGGATAATAAATACTGGAAGGAGAAAAAAAAATGTGGAGAGTTGTAGATAAAGAAAGAACTTGTGATTTAATACAGTTCAGAAATCTTCTCAGTAAGATGCTTTTCTCTAGACTGACCTTCCCTTGACCTGCTACTAAAATATCCCTGCTCCTTCTCTGTGAACACTTTTACATCAGGTATATAATTCCTTTGGGTAAATAACTTAGCAGTAATTAAATAATGGATCACAGCTGATGGGAACTGTAGAGCTCTTAACTCTCATTTGTTTGCTGCTTCTGTGAACTCCTTTTGCTGAGTCTGTATCTGTATTAAGGTAATTGTGCAGTGAGAAAATGCAGTGTGCCAGCATTCTGGTGAGTCTCTTGACACCGCACGTGGACACACTGGCACACTCCTCGTACAATGAAGGTCATACTTTCATCTGTGTTAGGTGGGCCAGGATTTCTTGGGGGGCTTTATTCATCATATTTTGAAAGCTGAAATGAGAAGACACTTAAAGCTAGGTATGAGGAAGATACAGGAGGGGGCAACCTTGTGTTTTCAGTGGCAGGATGGACACTTTGACCATTTTGGAATTCCATCTGTAGGTCATGTTGGTTTCCTGTGCTTGCAGCCAGGCCTGTTATATGTGAGCAATTCAGAGAAGCTGAAAAAACAAGAAAGCAGCTCAAGGAACTGTGAATGGCAATGAAATATTTTTAGAAAAATTAGAAACCACAGTTTCCTTCCCCTTCCCTCTTTTTTCCATTTTTTATTTTGCTACTGTTTAACTTTGTAATTGGGGACTTAAAATATGAAAAATTGACAATTATTTTAATGGTATTCAAGATTCTTTTGGTACCATTAGGAAAATGAATGCCATCATCTAGACAAATGTATTGGAATTTTTAAAAAAAACCCACTAAAATTTCTTCTACTATTTAATTTTTTTTCCCCTCGTGTCTATGTAGGACAAAGGTTTTCTTCTACGGAGTCATCCTAACTAAAATTCCCAAGCCTAGCACAGGAGAATAATTCTGTTATAGCTTTCAATTTTCTGAAGTTTAAAATAAGCATGACTTGAATCTAAATCCACTAGCCTTAAACGATTATTTTTTCTTCTTTTCTGGAGTTTGCGCACTTTATGTTAGATCATAACTGATGAGCACATAGCTTACTTAACGTGCACTCCTTCCAGCAAAGCAGTCTTAAGAAATCCTGGGGTTTTCAGGAGTTTAGCAGAGAGAAACCAGAGCCTCTCATACAATGTGGTAGCAATTTGTCAGCCAAGAAGAACGCTCCATTTTGAAATAATGCTCAGCTCAGTGGCAGACTAAAGACCTGACATACACCCTTGCCCTCTCCTTGCAGGCATCCTCCTCCGAAGACATGGGCAGATGGATAGGAATTTTGCTGGCGGAAACGGGGTCTTCAACAGACCCCGGAGCCCTGCACTACGACTACATCGACGTGGAAATGACGGCAAGCGTCATCCAGGCTGCCAAACAGACCTTCTGGTGAGAGGCGTTCAGCTACCTGGGTGGTTCCAGTCCTGTGAGAAGTTATATCGCTAGGTTAACTCCGGTGCCAAGAGAGCTTATCAAAATCCACCCCCCTGTGCCAGATATTGGAACTCCTGAAGTGTTTCAGCATCACAGCATGTTAGATGTGTTTATGATTATGGTGTTGGCATCCTGCTAAGTTCTGTAGAAGATGCAGACACCATCCAACTTTACTCAAATCTTTACTCATTTTTTCAGTAAGTCACCTTATCAAATGCTACATTTTAATATTTTTTTTTTTTTTTTGCCTGAAAACATAGAAATATCCCTGGAAGAGGAAAAATATGCTGAAAACTAAATAAATATGCAGCTACATAGCTTACGTTTGTCTGTTGGCTTTATTTGCTGTACATGTAGCCAATATGTGCAGCATACATTGGCCAATATATGCTGTACACTAAGAATGTATAGCAAATTTAAGTCTTGGATAGTCACATTCTCAGTGTTCCCTTCCCAAGTCCTTTTCAGAATTAGTAGCAACTTCGTCAAGCTCACACCACTCCAGTTAATTTCTGGGTTTTAGTTTAGGAGGTGGAGATTGCGAAGGTGTCTAGGGTGCAGCACCGAAACTCTGTTTAAATTGCAAATCAGCGCAGTGAATTCCCCGTTACTGATCCTGTGCTAAGTGCTACATACTTAGCATATATAGTGATTTATGCATTCAAATCAATTTGGGATTAAAGCAGTCTTTGGTGGGAAGAGACTGTCATTTTTCCTTGGCTAGATGAGGTTGTTTAGAAAGGGGAGTGAAGGAGCAGTTGGCACCGGCGAGATCCCCTGCTGCAGACATACCCCGTGGTTTCCCAGGGTTCGGAAAGTGGATAGTCTGAGGAGACAGCTGGCAAAGACGACATCCCTCATCTCGCTGCAAAATGAGACTGCCCACAGAAATTTGGAATTTGTGTGGCTTAATGTATTTGAGAATCACACCCTATCTGCTCATCATAACTTTAAACAGACTGAAAATGCAAAAAATGAAAGGCAAAATCTTCAAAGTTTTCCAAAAGAAGACTCTCATGCCATTAGCAAGGTGTTAAGAGGGCTTTAACGAGGGAAAATGCACAGCTTCATTCAGGATCTAGTTTGAATGACTTCTGATAGAAATCAAAGTGACTCAGTGTTACCACAAGCCCAGTTTTGTGAAAGCCAGATAATTCTGATAGAATCAAAAAGCACTTAGCTTACAACTTATGTTAATATTTCTTTTGAAGTTAATAGGGCTCAAAAAGTTTATCCTGTGTTGACGTATTTTTCCTTCAGTCAGCATCTAGCAATAACCACATTTAAGAAAGAAATAGAATGGAAACCTTTTCCGCGTGAATACTGCGTGGCTATCCTTTTCTGAACAAATGTGATATTAATTGGAGCCAAGTGAAAAAACATATGCAACTAGACCACATGTTAGAAAGGAATGTTGAACAACTTGCAAAATAGCAGAATTCCCCTATTAAGAATTAGTTAAAATTCATTGTTTTTTTTAAAGGACTGGAAGAGCTTGTTGATAAGGAACCGGAGTAGCTGTCTGCTGATTTTCAACTACTAGAAAATGAGGAGAAATTACAATAATACTTATGTGTTAATAAAATACTGTTCTTGCCCTTTATATAATGAATATCAGTATTCCAAATTAATTGCAGTTATCATTAAACCTTTGATTATCGCACAGTCACTTCAGGATTATCGATTGTTAGTTTCCTGAGACTGATGTTTTGCAAAACGATGGGCTTTTCATTAACAGTCCCATCAATTTTCTTCATCTAAATTATTAGGTATCAAGGAAAGGCTGGAGAAAAAAATGTTTCCAAGCAGGTTTTCTCCATTTCCTTTCCCCTCTAGCAGTTTCAGAATACAGTTAACTTACATGGATACATCTGTAAACAGGATTAATGAGGCTTAGTCAAATAATGCTTATGAAGTGTTTGCAGATGCTTAGATAAATCTTAGCTTGCTTTGGTGATGGGAATAGTTACTACAGGTGCATCAGGTGTCATTAATAAATAGCCCAGTTTTCAGACATGGTTAGTACGCATCACTCTCATTGAAGCTACTTAAAGAGAAAGAAATACAATAACAGCTCCAAGTGCAGCCCTTCAGACTAACCAGAAATGACTGACTAACCAGAAACACTTGAGTAATGTTCTTCATTAAGAGGAACAGTAAACAAATGCAGCCCTCTAATAATGTCTAAGTATGAGATAAGATAAAGTTAAAAACATTTTTATCATGGAATTTACCTTGGGCTTTTTGGTTTTTGTTTGTTTGATGTAAGAAAAGCTTCTGTCTAACGATTATTCCACCCGTGCCCTGCCTGGAAAGGCTCACGTGGAACTGGGCAGGTTCATCCCTCCTGTGAGCCCGGGTCTCCTGCAGCTCAGGTGAGCCCCAGTTGGATGAGGTCCATCTCCCTCTCAGTGAGAAATTCAGTGGGCTGCATGTTATTCCAAAGCCAAGAGAAAGCATCTGTTGAAACCACAGCATTTTTGAGCCCTGGCCAGTGCTACAGAAGACCCTCTCTGCTTTAACAGGGCTTTATCGTATTTTATGAATGTCAGCACACAGCCTGAATAGTTCCATTGTCAGGGATGGAAAGCTTTGTTTCCCCGTTCATGTACACCTGAAGCTGTAGGAATTATTTGGAATCTCATTCTATACTGTGTTCAATTTCAGCGGTTGCTACAAAGGAAAACTCACCTTTGGGGCCATTATCTGATTCTGCCATTTGCTGCATTGTTAGATCTTTGCTCCCAACACAAAGCCTGTTTTAGTCCACGATATCTTGCATGTATTCTGCAGAATTTCACTAAAACAAGCTGCAGTGTTGATTTGGGGGCAGAAATACACAAACAAACATATGTATATATCTATATACATATCTCTCATTTGAAGTGTCCTGAGAGCTCAGATCCACTGTGTGAAACAGAACAAGAATGAACATTGGGAGTATCTGCATGCACCATTACCCAGACAGAGAGCTGGGAAGCACAGTGCCGTTGTGCACACTCTACCCAGCCAAAAGTTCTGATACGGAAATTAAAAATTCCCAGATTTTGAAGAAGAAAATATTCAGCAAATTTTGATACATATATGAACTTAGATTTTGTCAAAGTTCCATTTTTTGCAGATTTTTGCTGGATTTGATTCTTGTTTCTCCCACTTAGTAAGTTTGTACCCCCCCACCCCCCCCACCCTGAGCATGCATGCACCCAGAAACACCTGCTTCTCCCTGATGCAGACAACAAGGGAACTTCTGTGGGACACTGGCAAGCTGGTTTATAACAGAGATCAGCAGGTTCCCATGTAAACATGCCACTGAGCCGTTACAGCTGTTGCCCTCCTGGCTTTCACGCAGTCGTATTCCCGCTGTAAGAATGGAGTACAGGAACACATGCTGTAATGTTGGCTGCTAGCAGCAACATGTGAGTAGCAAAAGAATGAAAACTGTCCTCAGCTTTCCTGCAGAAAGTGAGAAGATATGTGCTTCCAGGCTACATAATCAGACACAGGGAACATACCACTGAATCATCATTTAGACTTAGGTTCAAGAGCTGGTTTTTATTATTTTTATTTTGCTTTATTCAGTTTCATGAACAGGCGAGTTATATCTACAAATCCGTATCGGGGAAGCACTGCCAATGGCTACGCCTGCCCGAGTGGAATGGCACTTCATTACGATGATGTTCCCTGCATAAACGGATCGGTAAGAATTGAATTTGCACAGAACAAATGGTTTGCATGTGTTGAATGCATGGACATCTGAAAATTATATTATCTAAAAAGCCCCACTGGGCAGTGTCCAAATGAACTCCTGTTTTTTTGATTGGAGGCTGCAAACTTCTCTCACACCTATGGAGTATTAGGGGTGTGGGACATACTGTTTACATTAACCTGCACGTGAGCCAACGTGCATTTAGAAAGCAGTTGCCTGTTGATGATTTGTTGCCAAGTCCTTGAATATAATACTCACTTGAGGGGGTACTTTTTAGATCACACTGCACCTGGCAAAATTAAGGACTCGGTTACACCAGGCACTTTTTGGTGTCTGTTGAAATAAAACCAAAACTGAAACACTTCTCAGTCCCTGGGGCTGCATTCCTCATGACAGCAGGTACTGCTTATCCCAAAGGAGAACCACAGTGGCCACTTCTATCCTGACAAACTGCAGAGCTGATCATAGGCAGATGTGCAACAGGGTTCAACACATAGTAGGTGTTAACCCATAGCAATGTGTGGTCCTCAAGAAGATTCACAGAGGATCTACAGCCTGTGTCAGCTCTTAATTTGGGCTGCTTCATAAAGGCCCTCACTAAGGCTCCAGAGAAATTCAGAGTTTCAGTGTTAAGTGGACTGTGAGTTCAATCCTCCGTCATGTCTGAGTAATGGCAGAAAGATGGCAGAAAACCCCTCTTGGGAACGACATGCAGCTGCGTGTGCGGTGAGCAGTCTGTGTGTGTCGTTCTTGGATGTGCCCAGGCCTTTGTATGAGCAGTGTACTGCCACAGCCAGGGTGGATTAAGGAAGGATATTTGGCAACCAGGTTGGTTGCTTTTAAGATTAATGGAATGAATCACTGGAGTATTGTTGTTGAGCTTTCCATTTTTCTGAAAAGAAAAAAAAAGTAATAGCCTGTAGCTATCTTAGCTGGTTAGCTCAGAATAATAATTCTCCAGCAAACAGAATATAATATTAGCATACCAGCAGCTGGTATTCACTGGAAAGTCATATAGCCTGAAGAAAAAAAAAAGAGAAAAAACTTTGGCTTCTGCTAACTGTTAGGCTGTGTTGCTTTTGACTACTCATGAACCAGATGTAATCCCACAGATTCGCCTGTGTATACCCCCCCGTTAGCACAGTCTGCTTGTGCCCCCTTGGTGCTAGAGCTGACGACTGACGGTGCAGTCTGTGAAACAGGGCGGGTGGTGGGACAGTGTGGAAAATCCACAGGCCTGAGGCTATGAGCCATGTAATGCGATGCTTTCTTTCCACACTGCGTCCTCCCTGCCTTTCGAAATAGCTTGATTCAAGCATGAGCAAGAAGCAGATACTTGCTAAACACCAAGGGCTTGCTATGGTCAAAAGAATTACTAATGTTTTAATTTCACTGAGGAGGTTCTGCATGGTGTATTGTTTACTAACTGCCAAAGTGTATGTGTTGCAGTGGGAACCAGAAGATGGCTTTCCTTCTCGTAGCAGGAACATTGGAGAAGAAATGCTTTATGATAACGCAGGCCTGTACGATAACTTGCCGTCTCCAAAAATCTTTGCGCGCTATCCGCCAGCTGACAGAAAGCCCAATAGGTTATCTACTGACAAACTCTCCTCTAACCATTACAAATACCCTGTCTCATCCAATCTGTCTTCTGCTCAGTCTGTCACTAATACCTCTGCTGTGGGGAGGGGATCTGGCTCACAGGTACTGTACTATTTAATACTTAACAAAGCTTTTTATTTTTTGGCTGTTTTGTTTGTCTGGTTGTCATCTTAAGGGCCTTGGGCTATTTCAGTCCCTTAATGTTAGCACTGGAAAGCTTGGAGTTTAGTCCTGAGGCCACTGCAAATGAAACAGGTTTGCTAACTTGTAAATTCTGATGTGGAAGTATTGGCACCTGGGAAAGGCTTTCTCCACAAGTTCTTGATGATTTACAGATTGTGGATAATAACAAAAAAAAAGACATGTGACCTTCCAAACTTAGCCTGAATGCATATATAGCCGCCTTGTCTCCTTAGGTAGTGATGACTTCAAAAAATAAAAGTGAAATACGACCTGGCTGTGAGAGCAAATTTACCTCTCTAGAATTTTACTAATCTGTATGTTGTGTATCCTATGGTTATATATATTGTCAATATATGTAGATACCAATATATATCAGATATATACTAAGTGATACTGTATATAGCGTGTATATACCAAATTCAAGCTACTGCCTGTTATTTTCTTCCCCCCTACAAAACCTGAGCCTATGTCTATGCTGCTCTCTGAGGGTGACCTCAGGCTTCTGGACCTCAGCTGAAGTGCGAAGCTGCAGAGCAGATGGAATCCTGTGTGCTGAGCCTCAGCAGCAGACAGGCAGACCCTGCAGTGGGGCAGAGCAAGCCTTGCTCACAGCCACACTGGGGACCTTCTCTGGAGCCCATAGCCAGTCTCCGAAAGCTGGGCATTGGCATAAGCCTGTGAATGTGTCACAAAGATGGGTGGGTTTCAATCTAATCTGAAATGGAACAGTTAGATAAGCGTTTCCCTTCTCTAAGGCACCTGCCATATTGTGTGTTAACTCAACCCTTATGAAAACTTCCTGTTGGAATATTAGAATTCAGTGAAGTTGCAGACTCAAAGGTGGACCTGAGCAATAAGTTGCCCTGAACCTTGGCTGCAGCAGCAGGCTTCTCGTTCCATTCCCAGTTGAGTCCTCAGAAGCTTTTGGAAGCAGGTGACCAGAGCGTGGCACACGTCTGCCCCGGGCTCGGCTGAGGCGTCCCCCATGGAAGCACTGCCATTATCCAGGACAGTGCTGCTCTCCCCAGGGTTCAGTTCGTTGCAGGGGAGTCCTCTAAATGGAAACCCCTTGGACATAGTGTGCTATTTCTGGTGATCTTGTGAGCTTGTCTGGCCATTGTGAGAAGTTTTTTTAAGTAAGAAAAACTTTTAGTTATTAGCTAGAAGTTGTGTAAAAGGAAATTGACATGTTATCTCCTGGCATTTAAAAATGTGCAATAATTAATATTGTTTTTTTAAAAAAATAATTCCTTGCACTACGAGAATGGCAAGGTCATACAGTAAATAAGAAAAACTGTTGAACTTTTGTGTATCAAACCCTGTTGGGTTTTTCTGTATGAAATTAACTCTGACAAGCCTGTGTTTCAAGAATCTTTATAAAATTATTCAAAAGTACAACTTTTCTGCCTCACAGTGGCTTTCTTAATACAGTAAACACCAGAGTTTTAAATAGCTTGGAGACCATGATGCCAGCAGCGATGGGGAGTTCATCCCCTTGTTATCCTCTGATTGCTGCTCTGGCTCCTGCTGAGCAGGCAGCTCTCAGTGACAGAGTCTCTGGAGGAAGCGCTGGCTCCAGCTCAGTCAATGCGCTGTTAAGGCTCTCCGAGCAGACGGCTTTTTGTCAAGCTTCGCCCTTGATGACTGAGGGTGACTGTAATGCCAGTGGCACAGGAATAGCTGGAGCCGGTTTGTACTTTTGTTTTCAAACAGTTTAAAGGCAAGAAGCCTCCTGTGACTGCTAATGGCATCACCGGAAAAGGGAGAACTTCAAACAGCCAGCCGAAGAAGTCTGAATCGGTGTCATGTGTGAAGCGCACCGCATCCAGTAAGTATCTCTCCTCGCTGCTGCCCCACTTGTGAGTGGAGTCATGAGGATACCCAAAACAGCTGTCTTCTTAGCAAACAGATAAAGAACCACTGTGGTTCTTCTGTGCCCGAGAGGCTGAGCAGGAGACGCCCAGCAAGACTTTGAATAGGAGACATTGTGTGCATTGGTGACTCATTAGTAGTCCAGCCATTCCACAAGATAAAAGGTTGTCATGTGGAGAACGAGAAATATGAAATGTGGAGCCGTGGCTGCAAAGTCATGAGGGCAGCAGGGAAAAAAAAAGGGTAATGATTCTTCATTTGGGGCAGAGAGCAATTCTGTGTTCCTGTTGGAAGAGGAGGATGAGGAGCTGGGAAGTACATGAGAACATTATGTTGCTCAAAAGTGGAATTATTCTTATCACTAATGAAAAAGTATGACAAAATGATGAAGACAACCATACAACTCAGAAACTTCCTCAGAGAGATGAGATTTCAATTGGCAAGTGGCACATTCAGAAAGAGGATTCTTTGGGGCAGGGGGATTGCCTTTAGGAAATCCCTAACCGGGATTGCTTTGCTTGAAGAAGAAAAGACAAAAAAAAGCTATAATCATATTTTTTTAAATACAGATTCAGAAACACGGCTTCTTTTAGAGAAGGAATGAATGTGGGGGTTTTTTTGATCCTGTGATAAATTTTTTAAGTCATGGATTTAATGGCAGTAAGAGAAATTTGGGTTAGACTTTAGGAAAAAAGTAGTATGTTTCTTTCTAACTAGGTAGGCCAGTTGGTACTAAAGTAGGTAGTTGTGGGAGTAAAGGCATCTCTGTTACTAAAGACCAACTAAAACTGCTTTGACAACTAATTGTCAGGAATGGTTTAGTACAATTGACATTGCCCTCAGATATGCAGACAGACAGTGGTGTGTTAGCTGGCGTATTGATTTGAGTCTGCAGTTGGAGCAGCAGTATAGAAGGGGCTGTGATATAAATTAGAACACAGCTACATGTGAGCCATGAAATCAAAGCATCTATGTGGAGGTAAAAAAAAAAAAAGAAAAAGTTAAAAATCAAGGGTTCAGAGATAAAGAGGAGCCTCCTTTCCTTCCTCTGAATTGCACACAAAGGCAAGGCCATGTTTCAAAAACCAGTGTACTGGTATGTATCTTCTTCCCCATATAAACGTAGAGAACAAACTGTCTATCCCCTATGGTTTCTGTAGTGGTGCTGCAGAACTCAGCGGGAATCATGGATCTTGAGAAAAAGTCAGTGGAAAGGGAATGGTTGCTCAAACCGTAAAATTGTTCATGTGATGTTCAGTCTCAGGGAATGGTTTTGAATTTTACTGTTAATCTAACCAAGTGACTGGGGCAATGAGCTGCCTAAACAGCTGAGGAAGCACATAGGCACATACACACATATATGCTATAAAGGTCTGTTTTATCCAAGTTTAAGCTGAGAAAATTTCTTTGGTGCATGTATCTGTAATTTTTGCATCTCCATTTTAAACTGTAACCCAAGTTTGAATGGGAACAGGCAGGGACCAACAGGATCAAATAAACAACTATGATCCAATACACACAGATGCGGAGCAGTACAAATACGGCAAGAATCGTGTGGAGGCAGATGCAAAGAGGTTACAAAGCAAAGAGGAGGAGCTGCTAAAGAGGAAAGAAGCGCTCCGGAATAGGCTGGCCCAGCTCCGAAAAGAAAGAAAAGATCTACGTGCTGCCATTGAAGTCAATGCTGGTACGAGGTGGTTTTTTGTGCTGAATTCTGCCCTGGGTAGGCTGAATTATGCAAACAGATTTGTATTCTGTGCTGAAGACATGCCACTACATCAGGTTTGGTTTTGATGTTAAACTATACTCTGTAATGTCTAGATTTGGGTTTTTACATGTGTATGTGTGTGTGTACACGTGTGCCTGTGTAGTATGTATGTATAGGTGTGTGCATATATGTGCGTGTGTCTATAGATGCACCTATGAAATTACAGTGATGGGGACTTAAGCAGAACAAGGGAATAATTTTATTGTGACTGGCTAGTTCTATTTTCATGACATGGAAAAATTACAAAACAAATAATACTTGAAAGTAGACTCGAAAACTAGGGCAGGCACCTGAAAGAAAGCATTTGATTTCTTTCGCTAAACTTTTTACATGAAAAAATGCTTTTTGCAAAGTACGTGACTTTTTGTAAGGTCAGATCTTTAGACACCTTGTTCCTTACTTTTTAAAAAAGAAAATTATTTCTGTAGGTGTCAATTTAAGCCTGTTGTTGAAATAATAACATCTCTGTGAATGACAGGCAGGAAGACCCAAGTGATTCTTGAAGACAAGTTAAAGAAGTTGGAAGAGGAATGTAAGCAGAAGGAGGCTGAGCGTGTGAACCTGGAGCTAGAACTGACCGAGGTGAAGGAGAGCCTTAAGAAAGCCTTGGCTGGTGGCATCACACTGGGCTTGGCTATTGAGCCCAAGTCAGGAACATCAAGCCCACAGGTATGCAAAGCCATTAAACACGCACGTCCCAGTACCATGGGCTGGGAGTGCTCTGCCTTCTCATCTCCAGTAAAATGAGTGGGAACTGAGAGTTTTCAAAAGGTTTATTAAGCACAGGAAATAAGAGCAGAACGAAATGCCTTTCTGCGTTATTTGCATTATTCACTTAAATCTGGTTTACTTTGTACAACAGCAGGGAGCAGGTAGGCATGGAAATCACAGACACTGTTAGGATAATGTGCAAAAGCTGACACCTCATTGTCCTCAGTGATTGTAAAAGTGCATAAACTGAGACATTGCTCCATCCCAGGAAGATGTAAATGCACCAAAATCATCCTGCAGTGACTGAGACCTACTTGTGTTGGTCCTCTAGCAGTAACTGTCGCCCTTTGCGTGGTAGTCCTGGCTTATGCTGGGTCTGTGGCAGAAGCAGCCAGCAGAAGGATCAGAGGGATTTGTCAATTCCTCCAGATGACCCAACGCTCTTTAATGACAGAAAACAAACTTTAATTTTCATTACAGAACACAGACTTCGTGTTTTTTAATTTTATTCCAACCTCTTTTTCATTTATCCATCATTATTATGAGTATGGTTTCTTAAAAAAAATCTGCAGTTCAAGTCTAGATAGAAGATACTGCTCATGTGAGTCACTGGAGGAAACTCACTGTAGGGTTTTCACTCTTTAATAGTCTCCAATTCTCAAGCACCGAACTTTGGAAAACTCTCCCATCTCCAGTTGTGATACCAGTGATACTGAATGCTCAATACCTGTGAACAGCGCAGCCGCTCTGAAGCGACCTCCCTCGTCAAATAATTCTCCATGTCGAGGCCATGTCCTTCGAAAAGCAAAGGTGAGAAGACTTACGTCTAGTTTTCTTTGTCTGTCCTTTTTCTTACTTTCAAAAAAAACATACTTGCTTGTGGTGAGACAGAGGAGAGAGGGAGAAGTTAGTTCGTGTGGGTGAAATTTAAGAAGAGAATTTGCCATATCTAAATTATTTGTATTGCTACATAAATACTGCTGATTTTGAGGAACCTTTTGCAGAAGAATTGGTAAGTAGTTTGGGAGACAGATTTGACTCTGCTCTCTCATTCACTGTTTTTCTCTGTTCCTTTATAGATTTAATTTGCAAGGTAAGTGGTCTGTGACCTAGAGAGTCCATCTAAAATTCATAAAGTTACACTAATCTGTGTGGCAGAGAAGTGGTTAAAAGAGCACTGTTGTAGTAGGTGTTCTGAAACAACACAAGATTGGGTCTGATCTTTGCCAGCTGGTGCAAGAACAGGGTAGTTGTACATTATAATAATCGACAATGTGTTGTGCAAATATCTACTTCTGATGTACACTTAAAGTAGAAATTGAATTAATTGAATTTAGTCTGGCAAGTACCCGGCTGAAGCTGGCAGTCCGCTTGCGTTGGTACAGTTTCCTAATTGTTGTGCTGTAGTTTAAATGGGATTTGCGTGACCATTCTTCTGGCCTAAGTTTGCCAGCAACATACATGTGTGGGCAGCGCGTAACCAAGGGGGACAGTAATAGTGTTGGCCCAAGCTTTTGTTGTTTTAGTAGTGCACTGATAATTGTAATTCTAAACAATAATAATTATAAACATTTGTCTTCCATGCAGTCCATTTCTTTCTTCAAAACAATGAAGTATTCTGTACAGGGGTTTTTTAAAGCAACTTTTCTTACATGTCTTCATTGATTATGTACATTTACAGTGACTGAGCATGAGCCTGGCACCTAAATGTAGTAGATACTGAAAAATCAACATCCCAGCAAACGATTTGGTTTTCTGGCACATCCTAATCTCTCTGTTTCCTCCCCCCAAGGCCTTTTACCCTCCCCACATTGGCCAAGCCATGAATTACATCTCCTGCTATACCTTATGTGAGAGGTTTCTCGCCCTTCTTCTACCACCATTTCCTCCATCCTTTCCATGGTCATCAGCTGCTTTTTTTCTGTCAGTTAGCCTAATTCATTTAAATTCAACTAAGAATAGTTGAACTCAGCATAATAGGTTTTAGTTCTGTTTAACTTTGATGTTTGCTGCATGTGTTTCAAACCCGAAGAAGGATTCATGTGCTCTGAAGCTTATCTCTGTATTCCAATTATATCCTAATTTGTCTCATAATGATATCATCTCTAACTATATGCTTTGCCTTAGATTTGCGTGTTAGCACAGCGTTACTCAGGGAATGTGGTCTAGCAGAGCACAGGCCTTACGAAAGGGAGCGCGGATTTGTGCTACACGCTGGACAGGCACATTAAAGCCAGCCATTTCATCTTTACAGCTGGAGAAACCAGGGCACTATGAAAACCTAAACATTTTTGGTGTAAAGAGTGCCTTTCAGCTGTAGTACATTTTTTATGCTCAGCATATACCAAGCAGGAAAACCCCTGCTGTGTTGTTTGATATTGCTGTGCTTTGGATGGCATGATAGCTTGGTCAGGCTCTGTTGTAGAGGAATCTTGGATAGAAGATTGGGCTAATCAAAAAGGATACGGAGCTACTAAGCATATTTGCCATCCTGGGAAAAACAACTTAAAGTATCCAATTCAGCTTTAACAGCTTTTTCCTAAAACTTCATGCATTAAATATGGGGTGAAATTTTGCTGAATTAGATGGTGCAACCCAAGCCGTACTCAGCCCGTTCGCAAGGAGCTGCAGCCAAAGTCTGCCATCAGGTATCTGCAGCACGCCCCGCTTGCAGGGACAGGGTGGGATTAACTGTATATGTGCGAGAGTGGAACTTGGCTCTCAATTCTTCTGGCCTTTTGCAGTTATGAGTGAGCCCAGGCCTTATACATGTGGCAAAGGAAAGGGCGTCACGCGTGAGTATCCCGGAGCAGAACTTGGCGCTCCACGCATGGGTGTCAGTGCGACGTGTGGGAGTGAAACAGATTTCACATCCGTGCTAGCGCTTGCGTCTTCAGCAACTGGCAAATCTCCCAAGGTTGCGAGGGAGTTGTGTAAGCATTTGAAATGTCAGATTTTATTTTTATTTTCCCCCGGTATGTACTTGAATGCACTGAATGCCTCCCTTCTTGCTCTTCCCTTGCCTGAAGGATGCCGAGTCTGTCCCCCGGCAGCCGTGTGCTCGCAGCCACCCTCGCGTCCCTGCCGCGGGCTCCCAGCACCACGCTGCTCGCTGCTTGGGCAGCCGCTGCCGCGAAGGTGTGGGCTGCGCAGCCTGCGCCCCAAGCACTGCGCTGGGGGGGGCTTTGAGACTGGCACCCCCAGAAGCTCGCTCCTCTCGGATGCGCTGACGTGAGGGGGAATAGCAAGAGGACAGAGCTAGCGTTAGATCTAAGGACTAGCAGCGATTTGGGATTGACTGCTTAGGACATGCACTGTGCCACAAATACATATGCGTGCAGATAGTTGGATTTTTCAATTTTTCTGTTTGTAACGTTTTTAGTTTTCTTATAAAGTAATAACGCATATTTTTCAGAAGTCAGAAGGAATTTTAATTGTGATTTTGTTAATCTCTACTGGAAATGGAGACTGTGTAAAAAAGTGGATAACAGTGTTCTGCATTAGCATTCCTAGAGAAGTAAAATACTCCAAATACCCTTGCTGTAATTGTTTATTTCACATTTCAAATGAATTTCTAAAACCAAATTGTTATGCGTAGCAAGGAAACTGCAATGAGTAGTTCTGCTCTGTTTTCCAAACTGGTGGGCTGGTGAGTGTCAGCAGTTTACATTTCCTTATGTTCAGGGACTGGAGAAGAAAAGGAGCTCTCCCAGTTTCCCAGCTCCCAGTCAGGCTGTCAGTGTTGCCTTTCATTGGCGTGAACCTGCTGGAGAAACGGAAACAAGAAGTTCTTTCTGCACCTGCAGAAGACGCTACTTTCAGCTTTCCAGGCTTATTTAACACTGAGAAATATTCTCCTCCCAGTTGCTTAGCCAGCGACTTCCTTTAGATCTTTGGCAGTGTATACACAGAGAAAATACATTTAATATCTATTTTAAAGTAATTTAGTTGTTACCGATACTGTGTTTGAAGTTTAGATTTACAATAATTGGAAGTGTAAAACTATTTTATATTCTATTTTAGTAAAAGTACCTTTTAAAAGAAGGGGAAAAAAAACCACAAGATTAAAAAAAAAATCTATTGTCTTCATTCTTTAAACCCAAGATTTTTTTTCCTAATATTGTGAAAATAGCCACCAACTGTGACCTTTACTGTTGCTTTACAACGGTTGAAGAGGTGTCGTAGTCATGCAGCTGTTTAGCCAAACTAATGCCATCACTGCTTTCAGCAGCAGAAATAGATATTCACATGGATAAGTAACAGGTTTCAGTCAGAGCTCTTAAACGTTGTCGAATGAGTGTTAAATTCAGGAATTCGGGTTGGGAGCCAAGTCATCAGGCTGCCTGCAGAGCCTCTCTGCGGAGTAGGTGGTGGGAGAGGCGTGCGCAGAGCCCAGTGCCTGGCGAGGCGCAGCCGGGCAGTTGCTCCACGGGGATGACTGCAGCGAGAGGCCAACGCCTTCGTGTCTTCATTAGTTCCTGATTGCTGTATGGGCGTGATTCAGGGAGCAGGTAGGGCATGGATGTCTTAGGCTGAGCCCGGCTGTCTTCAGCTCTTCTGCTCCTATGTACTGTTCGGAAATGCTGTAGGCGTCACGCAGTAGCCACACGTTCAATTTCACTGGGTGTTTAGCTATAGCAATCTCACGATTTTCACTTATGTGGCAGAAGAAATGGCAATATCTTGCTCTGTGGCATATGGATGAAAGCATTATAGATTACGTGCTTGCTGTGGATGGCAGGTGGTGTTGTCCTCAGCTAACAGGTGGGGAAACTGAGGCACATAAAGGCAAAGTGCTTTCTTTAACTTGCTGAGCAATAGCTCAACTTGGATTATATAGATAGGAAACAAATGTAATAGAAGCTAACGTCTTTCTCTTTACCCTGCCTGTAAGTGTCCCTACCTCAGTAAGCTGCCATTTTTAGCCGTAGAAACGTGTCTCTGCCATGGTTTTTGTAATGAACAACTGAAGAGTAGTAAAGCAATCACTTGGTGTCAGCTATGGGAGATACTGAGTGCTTCCTGCTGTCTCATGCAATGAAGTCAGAAAGCCCTCTGCGCTGCATCAGCCTCTCTCCTTCAGCTCCCGCTGAGTGCCCTAGAGAGAAAGTAACCGGTGCGGAGGGGTGGAAGCTGCACGCACAGATGCTATCAGGACAGACTTGTTAGCATTCCCTAACTAATTTGTGGGCAGAAGGCTGGATCCGGTGACGTTAATGGAAAAACTGTTACTGACCTCAGCTGGCTTTGGCGTAGCAGATCTGATGACATCAGTGAAATATCCTGATTTCTCTAACATTTTCCATATCTTCTCTTTTTTTTTTTTTTCCCTTCCAGGAATGGGAGATGAAAAATGGAACATAAATATAGCAAAACCACTCACTTTCCATAAAGGCCTTACCAATTACGGACCAAGACATAGGCTGCAAAAGACTCGTCTGAAAGGTGGTATCAAGCGATACAACATAAGAGGTTTTATAATTCTGTTAAGTTAATGGTAGCTTGGCGCTAATTTGCCTGTATTCCCTCTATTGTATTGCTGTGTAACTACATGTGACCCTTCTTATTAGCTGTAACTCTTTATTTCCAACTTCACTGGTAAAGAAAATGAAAACCAAACCAACTATAGTAATTAAAAAGGAGCATAAAGTCCTAGTTGAAGGTTTACTTTGCTGGAACAGCATAGACCAGCAACGTTAATTATATCGCATCAGATGGCCTGAACGCTGAAGAATGATGCGTGAAGACCGACATGAAATCGTTACGGAGAAGAAGTACACAAGAGTAAAGCTGACTTTCGAGGTCTGCTGAGCAAAGTCTTGCTCGTTAGCCATCACTTTGCTGTTAGCTGTTCACGTGGCAGAAGAAAACTGAAGAAATGTGTTCACAGAGATGGCGTGGCTGGCTCGAGCTGGGAAGGCAGGAGCTCTTCGCTGCCGCTGGCCCCTGCACTGTGGTGGGACCATGGACGACACGCCTCAGCTGTGAAGCATTTTTTGGCTACTTTTTAGACAGATGCTTTTTTCATTGGAAGATAAAAAGCTTCCATACTTTAAAAAAAATGCATTTTAATACGTTCTCTTTATTACTATTCCGAAGAACCAGTCGTTTTCAAAGGTCATGTCATTGAACTGTGATTTGTTCCTGATTTTTTTAAAAGGCAAACAGGTATTTTTAGATACTGCTTCTTTTCTATACTTTTTGAAAAAGTAAAAGAAAACATAATTGAAATTAATCTTCAACAGATAGTGGCAACTCAGAGTAGCTTATGCAGTCAGTCTTGTTTTGTTTGTTATAATATAGTATTGTTAAACTTGAGTTATAGAACACTGCTGTACTTAGTTTCTTTCGTCTTTTCAGATCTCAGCTATTATTTTTGAGGAAGACGGACTGAAAAGATGATAATTTCCAGACTCTTTTACAAACACTTTTACAAAGAATTGGGGATTTTGTCGGACAGGAGTCCATTTCTGTTTACTAGGAAACAACATCTTGCATTTTAGTCTGTAAAATTATAGAAATCTGTTCTTATTTGTCTCTATCCATGTCACTCCTGAGAACTTACACGCATAAATTGTCAACTGAAGTCCTTCAAAATCTCAAGATTGGCTCTAAAAATCAGGAGAGAGAGAGGGGAATAAAATGTATAAGAAGTTGGCTTATTTAATTTTTTCTCTGTGGTTTTTTTAAGCCTTTGGAGAGCCTTCAATCACATTCTCAAGATTTTCTTCCTCCTCAACTGTAAGGACTAGAAAATTACTTTAATTAAAAAAATTAAAACCCTACTTGTAGTTTGAGATAATCAAAGATGTTAGGGCTGGAGTCTTGATAATTAGTTAAGACTTGCAATTGAATCTGCAGAAGCTGTCAAGACAGCAGTTATCAAGGATCACACCCCTGTATGGCCAGCCCTGTAGTTTGTCTCCTACCTGTAGGAATAGGTGTGTGTAACTCCGGAAGGGTACACTGGCGTTCCCAGCTGAGCTGGATGCCAGAGGACTTCCCACAGGAGCTGGGGGGATTTGAAGGCACAGAGCTGTCAGAAAGATGCAGGGCTGTGTCCTGTTCCCAAATGCAATTAATGCCAGGGATCCCGTTGACCTCAGCTGAGTAGAAATGGGGTCCAGCATGAGAAAAGGCTCTTTGCTTCTTGGGACTGTGCTTTGTATGAAGTGCTGCGGGGATGCAGATAACGGTAAGGAAGCAAGTGTCAGTGTGGTTTTCACTGAAACCAGGATTTTTTTAGTATTATTTTAGGTCATCTGCTTACTTACTAACTCTATAAGTGGAGGGCACATTCTATGCTGTACGACTATGGACTAAACAGTATCAAGTTCCCATAAATGTTTAGCAGAAACAAATTTGAAGCAAAAGTAAGTTCATTTAGGCTTTTTATTTCAAATTAAGTTATTTATTTGTATATTTCAATAAATATTTAATTTATATCTGTACATATTTATGATGAAAATTAGGCTTCTAGTCAACGTTTGCAATGATGTATCAGTTGCCATTAAGAAGTGGTCCCGCATCAAGTAATGCAGAGTAGTCAAAAGCCAAATCTCTTGTCTTGTTTACCCAATATTGGCATTGTATCTTCCAGTGCCCTATATCCCATGGGAAAAAAAAGCGCCTTGGCAAGGACAAGTTCTAATCCATGCCTGAGATGATAGAATTGTGCAAAATTCTGTCCGAGCAAACAGAGGTTGTGTGGTGCTGGGGCCGTGCACACAACCCCAAGCCTGGTGCCACGGTCTTCTGCTTTGCTGGTCATCTTCAGCACCTATAGTGCCTTTGGCACCTATGATGCCCACTGCAGCAGGGGCTGCTGCCAGAATTAAGCATCTTTCACGCTTCCTCCAGCAAAGGCTCCACCACCCCCTCGCCCCCAGCCCGGCGCGTTCTGTAACTGCCCGTCTCTAATGTGGAAGTACGTTGGTACCATCGCACTTGGCGTTAGCAAAGTGTCTGTTCTGTATAATGGCCAAGGTTTGGAAAGGGGGAAAACCAAAAAGCCTCGGGGAACAACCTCTCTATAAACCACATTTGGTGCTGTGAAATATACTCCGTTTTGTTGAATAGTACTTTCGCTGTACAATTTTTTATAAAAAGCAGCAGAGCTTGTATTTTCACCATTTTTCGATTTCAGGATCACCAGACAAAGTCGGCAATAGAGCAGCATGACTTCTGTTTTAAAGGAAAACTCTTGTATTTAAAACCATTGCAAACTATGTCTTTTATGAAAATGTTACACTTGCGCTTCCTCAACAAACTCCTGTTACTGTATCAGGTGCTTTTTTCAATTGTTTTTTTATGGGTGATGCTTTTAAAAAAAAAAAAAGATTATAACTTTGGGGGATCAAAGGTGTTTTTTTAATGAGATGATTGTGGCAAGTTGATTTTTCAAATGGAGAACTTAATTTAGTATCAATTTTTTGTTAAAGATACTCTCAAATTAATTGGCCGAGGCTGTATGTTGTAAGATAATGTTCTCATATTAAGAATGTAATTATTTCCTTATTGTATTTTTTAAAAACAAAATCGTATTTAAAAATCTCTGTGAAAAAAAGCATGAAAGAAACATGAAAAAAGTTTTTGTTTTATTTTTGTTATTGGATATGTTGGCAGTGCCCATTATAATTGACTGTAAATATAGTCTTTCTACTGTTTTTCTCAACGTATTTAAGTTTTTTGACACACATTCATGGAAACTTCTGTAAAAAAAAAAAAAAGGTCCAAAATAGACCCACATACAAATGTGTGTCTTAGTAGCTCCAACTAACTTTATGCCTTTCTAGTTTATTCTTCAGAAAGTCTTGCAGAGCATGAAAAAAGACTGGCACCTGGGAGGTGCGACAGAACCAAGACCATTATTAATAAAGTTACCTGTCAAAAAGGAAGTATTTGCACTGTTGTTTCTTGGTATTTGTCAGTGTAGTAAGTAGGTGGCACTTTGGCAGGACACCCAGGATAGTCCTCCTCAACCAAGTACCCTTCTCCCATGCCAGTCGGTTGAAAGATGCTTGGACAGGTTACAATTAGGATTTTTTTTGGTGTCAGTTCTGTCCCCGTTTAACTGTGCGATGACCTGCTGCAACTGGCATGCAGTCTGTCTAAGGGACAGCCTGGCAATGGACAATGGGAGTTCAGTGTATTTAGAGCTCATAGCAGAAGTTACCGCTTACCTAGTGCTAGTGCATCAGTTTGCTTAGACGTCAACTCCATTAATAAATAAGGTAAAACTGTAAAAAGTTAAAAGTTACCCCTAAGAAATTAAAGTGGATCAAAATCAAACTGAGCTAATTATCAGACTACTTAACTAGGAATATAGCAATTCCTTATAGATGACTGACAGATGAGATTGAGCACTGATAAGCCTTAATTACTCCTTGTTGCTTTTCCTAGATTTAGCTCTTGCTCCCATTACACAAATATTATTACCAAATGTCATACTTAAATAGAAAACACATTTCATTTTACCAGACTCAGGGAAGCAGTATTGTAGACTAAATGGTTTCCTTTCTGTACTCGCAACCTCCTTGACCTCAGGAGAAAAAGGTGGTCAGCATATGTAAAACATCTCATGGTGGTGTAACTAACAAGAATTATCTCTCAAGGAGACACAGCGGTTTGTCCGCTTAATCAAAGCTCGTAACACTTCACTGCCTTTTGTCAGTTAAAAAGCCTTCAAAAGCAAAGCTTTTTTTATTAGTATTTCTCTGGAGAAGGAAACAAAATCTTTAGAAAAGATACACATACAGGACAAATTGTATAAAAATACACACATTATTTATAAAAATAGATATTTAGAATAGTTGTACTATATAATATATACTGTTATAGTGTAATAATATATATGAAAAATTTAGAAAATTTATACCTTAATACTCAGACTTATGGCCGAAAAAATCCTTAAAGAGGATCTCAGTGTTTTTCTATAAGCTACATTTAATATTTGTTCTACCCAGTTACATCCCAAAGGCATTCAGTATAAAAGACCCCACCAACACCTAACTCCATTGTGGTTTATTCTTGCAGGTGGGCACCCACATTGCAAGCATTGCAGTGCTTTAATATTGAGTTCTTCTTTTTTACTTTTTTTTTAATTTGTGCATAAGTTGAGCGCCATCAGACCGCTCATTACAGCAGGGCTTTATAAAGAAGGATGCCTTGGTAGAGAATGAGCCACGCCAAATGTTGACACCATTTTTCAAACGGAGAGGGAAAAAGTCAGGAAACACAGCCTTTTACAGCTCTACTGTGCAGATTAACAGATGGCATAATAAAGTGAAGAATCAGTCAGCAGACTGAGAAATCACTGTACTGGGGTAGAGCCCACACAGGTTTTATACTGGGGTGTCATTGCTCATGAAGTGCTGAGAGGTCTGTGAGGCTGCTAATCAGCATCCAGGAAAAGAACACATTCTGCCTGGGTTTCCTCAATACAGTTTTGACAAGGTCCGTCACTGAAGAGGTTTAAGTAGCTATTGGAGAAAAGGAAAAGACCAATAGGATAAACAACTGGTTAGTAAGCAAACAAAAAATAAGGCATAAATTCTCTGTTTCCAGTGGCCTTGGGATCCCACAGGGCTGGGGTCTGAGCCTTGTGCATATCAGAATAATTGCAATAATTGGAAAAAATAGGAGATTAAAAATTTGCTGTTCCTAATTTATTCAGGATAGTAAGCCAACTACAAGAACTTCCAGAAATACCTTTTACAACTTCAGCAATAATTAAAATGTCAGAAGAAATTCAGTGTAGGTAAATGCAGAAA